TATTTTGAAAAATAAGGCTGGGTGTGGTGACTCACACATGTAATGCCAGCAGTTTGGGAGGCTAACGTGGGTGGATCACCTGAGGTCAGGATTTCCAGCCCAGCCTGACCAACATAGTGAAACCCCATCTCTACTAAAAACACAAAATTAGCCAGGCATGGTCATGCACACCTGTAATCCCAGCAGCTTGGGCTGCTGAAGCAGGAGAATCGCTTGAACTCAGGAGGCAGAAGTTGCAGTGAGCTGAGATCGCGCCTTTGCATGTTAGCCTGGGCAACAAGAGTGAAACTCTGTTTCAAAAAAAAAAAAAGAAAGAAAGAAAAATAGCACGTCATATATATGATTTTATAAATATTAAGTCAGAGTAAGAGTCTAAGATTTTAAAGGAGAGTTGCTTAAAGTTGACATAAAGAAAAATAGTAAATAAAAGCTAGTATAGATAATATATAAAAGCAAAAATTCCCAAACTAGAAAATACTGGAACTATACAGTGTTCATTAAGTGAATGTTTATACTGAAAACAAAACAAAAACCTCTTTGCTTGAAATGGCCTTGGATGAATTGACATCTATGCAGAAGGGAATTAGATAACCAATAACTATTAGGTCAGCTGGTAACAAGAAGATTTCAATTATGAAAACATTGATTGACTTCTTTCTTCATAAAAATAGAAACTGCACTTCTAAGAGGTAGGATGAAAGGAAATTAAAAGACATATTGTGCATATGTGAAAAAATGTAAATGCTAATGTGCTGTTAAAGGTAGACTTTGTACCCAGACAGGTGACTCTAGATTTTTTTGTCATTATTCCAGGGGTCACAAGAGATTCTATGATTTTCAAAAGAGAATTTATGGAGTTTCTAATAGACTGCTAACTGACTCTGGAAAACATAAGAAGCAGAAATGACTGGTTGCTCCATTCCTGCAATTGCTCTAACCCACTGTATGCCTATGATGTGGTTATGATATTGTTCACTGGGAGCCTGTAATGCACAGAGCATTTCCTTGTTTACAGAGGGAGAGTTCCCACCTGAGGCCTGGGGAGGCTCCAGAGGAGCCTTGGTGGTCAGAAATGGTAAGACCATTCTCTGCCATGCCAATCAGGAAAGCCCTAGGGGTTTACTGGTTTCGATCCAGACCTTTGGTCTTGGCTCAGTTGAGGAACCAGCATTTGAGAAGAGCACACCCATTTTTAGGAAATTAGGCAGATTATTAGCTATGGCAAAGGAAACCAGACAGATACCACATACAAATGCAGTTAAACCAGCACTTCGGAGCCAACAGGATTTTCTCATAACTTAAGAAATCTGTACTTTGAAAGGTGGCTTTTGTTTTTATATTAATGTGGATCATTTTGGTTTTCTTCTTTAATTCGTTCTTGTTGAAAATGCCAGCCTATCACTGTGCTAAGGAGAACAAAAAGAGAGAGGGGTGTGAAGAGAATTCTCCTGAGGCCAAATCTATCATCAACTTCAATTGTACTGGGTTGCTTCTGTTCTGTTCTTTAACTTCACAAAACCCAAGTGGTCTGGTTGTAGCCTTATACCCCAATCAAATACACCAGGAGGAAAATTTAAAGCTTTTTCTATATACCACAATGCCATGTTTTATCCATATTTGAACCAGAATTTGAAAGGAGAAACAGTTTTATTCTTTAGGAATTCAGCATAGTGAAGCCATAGGAATCAAAGGAAGCTACCTCCACAATATCTGAAGAAGTTCCTTCTAGATGGCCGGGGTCTAGGGGGTGAGGCAAGAAGGCACCAAATGGCTGCAGAAGTTAAGGAGGCATTCGTTCTCATGGTCCTGCAAAGGCCTCCTTAAATTTTGAGACCTGGCTTGCCTGACCCTAAGTCCCTCCCTGCTTCTGTCTCCTGGAAATCTAGAGTTTATGTTTTGTTTTAATGAGAGAGGTCACTCCCTTACAAGAGTCCTGCCTTAATAAACGATGCTTGAAAAGTTGCTGAGCTGGTTTAGAAAAAGAGGGAATAAAAGAGTGATTAAAAAGGAAATATACTAGATCTCAAAGAAACCAAATCTATTAAAAAAAAAATCTGAGTAGGAATCTACAGGTTATTTCCTTTTTTTTTTTTTTTCCTATTATTCCTCCCCAAAATAACTCTTCCATATGTAATACAAAGGTAATATGCAGTACAAGGGCAACCTTAAGAAATGGTTTATTCTCTGTTTAAAATAGGAGTTATTTAAAAAGGAGTTATTTAAACAGAGGGACAAATTATTTAAAGAGAGGGACAAGAAGGAGAGAAATCCTTGCTATAGTACAGAGTTCAATTTGGCTGGAGTAGAAAGTTCCTTAACGGAAATGATGACTTGAAAAGCAGTTTGCAGAAGCTACATATAAATCACAACTTTTTTTCTGTTAGTTGCCCTTCATCCCCAGTCATGTTCTAGAAATTAGCATGGTAGTTAAAAACGTATCAAATGTTATTATTAATGCAGTCAGTATTAAAGCCCATATGTGTAGATAAGCTCAAGCATCTAAATCCAAAAACCTTATGTATTTTTTCTGACCCTTTCTGGAAGCAATCTGTCAAATCTGAAAAAGCACTAAGAACTCTTATGTCTGCGAATCAAAAAACAAGTCCCAAGCCAGGTTAAAGTCACTTAACATCTCTGGGCTTCAATTTCCTCTTAGGAAAACACATACTACTGTGACTTTAGGATAGATGAATAGAAGAAACACTGAGATGGTAGGAAGGCCATTGCAGGAGGGGAAAACCTGCCAATCTCTTTGGGTTGATACAAGACGCAAATGCAACCATGGATGTGAAAGCACTTAATATACTTGTATTATATAAAACATTAGATATTTTTATTTTTGAAGTCATACCAACTTATATCTGAATCCTACCTGATCCACTCATTTACTAGTTCTATGACCTTAAGGGAAAATAGCCAGAAACTGCTATGCTCTTCACACTATTGCTGGGCTTTTACCAAACAAGCAATGTGGATCTGGTAATGGCATTTCCCCCCCTGCATCAGTCACTTAGAAGCATATGCAGGTTCTAAAAACATAATTTCAGAAACTCTTGTTTTTATTTTAACTCTCATTTCCCCTTCCTGGGCTATTTGATTTTGCACTTTATTTTTTAAATGCCTTCAATCCTCACCCTCTACCCCTTTTTTTTCCCATGAGGCTAAGCCTAAAAACGAATGAATCATAAATGTACCTCTTCCACCAAGCCTCCCTTTACCTTCCTAAGCAGAAGCTCTTGACTTTTTGTATGCGTTGTTCTTTCTAAGTGCTCAACAAATGCTTAAGTTAATAATAACATTGAAGAGTCCCACACTTAACTGGCCAATATCAGAAACATCCAAATGCTGTGAATGTGGACCCTATCAAAACTAAACTTTATTATGTGTTTTCAGGATGTTGTCTAACAACAGTAATATTTTTAATGTGTTGAGTAATATTTTTAATTTGTTAGGCACATTACAATCTTCTACATTTATCTGCCTATATAGCATTTGGTCCTCACTGCATCCTTGTCAAGTTGTTTTGGCAGGCATTATTTTCTATTTTACATATGGGAACACAGACCCAGCAGGTCTGTTGTGGAAGAGCTAGTTAGAAACCAGGACCTCCACTTTCAACCCAGCAATCCTTTCATTCTGATACACTCCCTCTGGGAAATTCCAGAAACAGGCAGCAAAACAACCAAAAACTAAAGCAGCTTACTTTTTCATATGTAATATGTAAGTGAATACCAATGGCAAATGACAATGGGAATGTCTATAAAAAATACATAAGCCTGGTGCAGTGGCTCACATCTGTAATCCCAGAATTTTGGGAGGCTGAGGCAGGCAGATCACTTGAGGTCAGGAGTTCAAGACCAGCCTGGCCAACATGGTGAAACCCCATCTCTACTAAAAATATAAAAACTAGCCAGGCATGGTGGCAATCACCTGTAGTCCCAGCTACTCAGGATGCTGAGGCAAGGGAACTGCTTGAACCCAGGAAGCAGAGGTTGCAGTGAGCTGAGACCACCACAAAGCACTACAGCCTGGGCGACAGAGCAAGCCTCTGTCTCAAAAAAAAAAAAAAAAAGAAAAGAAAAAGAAAAAAATAAAAGAAATACATAATAAGCATATTGATCAATTGACAAGATATTTTAAAATGTAGGCTCAATCAAATATTTTTTTTAAAAGGATGCATGAGCCTGGCCAACATGGTGAAACCCCCGTATCAACTAAAAATAGAAAAATTAGTTGGCCATGGTGGCCCTCGCCTATAATCCCAGCTACTTGGGAAGGCTGAGGCAGAAGAATCGTTTGAACCCTGAAGGCAGAAGTTGCGGTGAGCCTAGATAGCGCCACTGCACTCCAGCCTGGATGACAGAGCAAAACCCTGTCTCTGTCATCAGAGACAACAACAACAACAACAAAATGGATGCATGCGTGGAGGGCATGAAATATTTCCGTTAATCCAAACTTAACCTCCATTAGTCCTCCACAAGGCCTATACTTAAATGATTATAAAGGGACTTCACTATTTGGAGCAAAGAATACAAAGACTGTCACAAAATGTGCCATGTAATATTTATCCCACGCAGTATAAACTATAGATGGGAATGAACTCCACTCTGTCCCCTAACCCTCCACTCTCAGCCCAAACCCCATATTTACTCCTTATTTTGGGCAAAGGTCATATATAATTATTGCTAATAAAATGTTGCGGGTTTTTTGATCCCTAGGTTAAGATTATATATATATATATATATCGCCTTGAATACATTCCAGTCTGTTTTTCTTGAAAAAGTCGATGAAGCAAAGAGGAAGTTACCTCTTAAAAGTAACTTATCTTTGATCAGTGCTACCAGTCATTTCAGAACCACTAGCTCAACCTTCCAGAAACGAATAGGTTACGAAAGTATTCAAAGAGCGTCTCGGGCTTGGTACAAGTCCCTGTGCCGGGCAGGACTGAGATGGAGGCGTTCAGTCCCCAGTGTGCAAAGCACCCGACCACAGGTCCATCCCACAGGTTGGCGCCGCATGGGGTAGCGCCTGGGCAGGCGCCCTCCAGCCCCTGCGCGGACTTAGGACCGGGGTAGTGACCTTGACAACCCCTCCGCTGCCCGGGGGAGGCTCGAGATGGTCACGGGAATGGGATAGCGGCGTGACAGTCTCCAGGCGGCGCGGGGCGGACACCGCACGGGGGAGCGGCCAGTCCGCCCCTCCGGGGCCCGCGAGAGGCTCAGCCGCGCGTGGCTCTGCCCTCTCCCCAGCGCCCCGCCCGCGGCGCATCTGGGGCCGGGCTCGGGCGAGCCGCCAGCCCTACCTCCTCGGTGGCCGTGGGGCAGTAGGAGATGAGCACGAGCGTGGTGAGCATGTTGACGGCGAGCCCGAGCAGGGTGATGGAGTTGGGGGCCATCCAGAGCGGGATCCACTGGAGCAGCCAGGTCCAGTAGAGCTGCAGCGGCGGCTCGAGCAGCGAGACGCCCGCCGCGCTGTAGCGGTGCTCCTCCAGCCGCCGCAGCTGCGCGGCGCTCAGCGGCTCGCCCAGCGCCCTCAGCCAGCGCGGCGCGGGCTTGGCCCCGGCGCCTGCCGCCATGGCCGCCTGCGGGGACCCGCCGACGCCACCTAGCGCAGCCCGCGCCGGGCGCTGGGGGCGGGGAGAGGTGGAGGGAGGGGCTCGCGGCCCGGGCCTGCGCCGGTCGGGCCCGAGCGGCGAGGTCGAGGTCAGGCCGAGCTGCCCGGGTCCCGGGTCCCCGGGCCCCCGCCCCCTCAGCGGTGGGGCCGCGGGTGCGTCTCGCGGGTGGGGCGGGGCCTCGGGGAGGGGTCCGGCTGGGGGCGGGGAGGCGGGCGCGGCGCTCGCGGGTCACCCTCGGCGCCAGCCAACGGCAGCTTGCTCTTGGCGATCGAGGTCCCTGACTCCCCAGGGCCCGGCCGCACTGCCCCTGGGGTCTGATTCGTTCACCCAGGGCGGGCGTCGGATTACGCCCTGATGGGGTGTTCTCGCAGGGTGCGCCGCGACAGGGCCGGCTCCTCTCCTAGAGGTGGGAACACTACTCCGGTCGCCCTGGGTCAGCCACTGCAGGACCACGCTGGCTGCCCGCGGAGCCTGGGGGTTTTCGTGTGGGAACACGGTTTTGCAGGTCTGGTGTCACCTGCTTGGTAAACACAATTCTCCCTTCCTGCGCGGAGGAAGGCGGCCCTGCCATGTATTCGCTCTAGAGACCCCCTCGCTGCGGATTCAGAGACCAAGGTTTTGAAACTGAAAATCAGGGCTTAGAAACACTATCTAACAAGGAGACTGAATGGCTGTAACCCCAATACCTATTTTTTTTTTTTTTTCCCAGCGCATTGGATACCAACAGGATTGGGTATTTTTACACACGATCTTCCCTGGAATTGAGGGCAGGAACCCAGGCGTGTCCTCCCCCTGCACCGGAGAACAGGCCGGCTTGCTACGCATTGGTGGGTCACTGGCCCCTTATCTCACAATGCACTCACTTGGACAGGGGACATCTATCATAAACATGTTCTGTTGCACAACCTGAGACAGGCCCGTCACTTGCTTTGCTCTTCGCTTCATGGTTCTGATCTGTACGCACTTTCTAAGGTCTAGGACAAGCCAGAAATTGCTTCCAAGACACTTGCGTGGCGCAACCTCTGTCAGCAAGTGCAGCAGGGGTCCACAAACTGCTCCCTGTGGGCCAGGCCCAGACCACCACCTGTTTTCCTACAGCCGTCCAGCTAAGTACGGTTTTTACATTTTTAAATGATGGGGAAAAAATCAAAAGAATACTATTTTGTGATGTGAAATTATATGAAATTCAAAGTTCAGTGCCTCAAATAAAGCCATGTCTATTCCTTCCATGTTGTTTGGCTGCCTTCATGCTACAGAGGCAGCAGAATTCAGTTGTGACAGAGACCATACGGCTGGCAAAGCCTGGCATATGTCCTACTAGGCCCTTTAAGGAAAGAAGTGGCAACCACTGCCTTAGAGCAATGAGGATGTCTACAGACGAAGCATGTATGTTTTAGGAATATGTGTCTCCTCACCTTTAATGTGAAAAGTGATGCTGACAAATGCAGGAAAGGAAATGGAATGATGGAGATCCACTTTTAACGATGCCGGCTTACGTGCAGTGAACTTGACAGTACCTACTTTTTGATTTACCAATGTCATGAATTGTCCAAGGAAAAATCCTTTTTCAGATTAGCAAATTTTACTGTATTAAAAATAATTTCTAATGTACATCAAAAGACATCATAAAGAGAATGAAAAGGCAAGCCATAAACTGGGGAAAGGCATTTCCTTCAAATAAAACCCACAACGACTAGTACCCAGATTATGTAAAGAACTCCTAAAAATCAATCAGAAACAAAAATAATCAACGGGGCTGTGTTCAGTTTCTATAGCAGAAACCCTGGAACACGGTAATGTAAAGAAAATGTTTCTCTCTCACATAAAAGAAATACAGAATTGGCACTCCAGGATTGGTAAGATGTTTCCATGGTCATCAGGAACTCAGGCTCTTCTGTCTCTCTGCTCCAGTATCCTCTCTGACTTGTATCTATAAGGTCATCTCATGGTTCAGAATGGCTGGTGAAGCTCCAGTCATCCTATTTGCATTTCAAGCAGCAGGAAGTAGGAAGAGGAGAGGAGAAAAAAAAGGTAGATACCACCGGCTGGTGAGCAAACTGGGGTGCCTCTCCAAAAGTCCCAAACAGTACTTCTCCGTACAGTAGTCCCTCTTTGTCCCTGGTTTCACTTTCTGCAGTTTTAGTACCCAGAGTCAACCATAGTCCAAAAATATTAAATGGAAACTTCCAGAAATAAACAATGTATGAGTTTTAAATTGCATGCCATTCTGAGTAGTGTGATGAAATCTCACACAGTCCCACCCTTCCCCACTCAGGACATACATCATCTGTTTGTCCAGTGTATCCCACTATATATGCCACCTATCCGTTAGTCATTTGTTAGCCATCTTGGTTATCCAATAGAAACAACATGGTATATATACAGTGCTGTACTATCCATAGTTTCAGGCAACAATTGGGGGTCTCGGAATATATCCCCTGGAGATAAGGGGACTGTTGTATCCTACATCTCATTGGCCAGAACTTAATTAATGTGCCCTACCTGAGTGGAAGTGTTAGCTAGGAAGAACAGATGGTTGCAACCACTTGAAAAACAACCTGGCATTTTCTGATAAAGTTGAACACGTATATGCTCCGATACCACAATTCTGATCCGAGAATATATCCTAAAGAAATTCTTACACAGGTATCGTAGGAGATAGGTATAAAAATATTCATGACACCTTTGTTGTACCAAAAGCTGTAAATAACTTATATGTCCGCTAATGCTGAATGGGTAAGTAAACTGGTATTTTCAAGTAATTTAATATGTAGCAAGTTTAATATAGCAGTAAAAAAATTAATGAACTATAGGTACACTTATGAACATGAATGAATTGCACAAGCATACACTGAGTGAAAAAAAAAGCAGATATATTCGTCAGCTTGGGTTGTCATAACAAAATACCATAGACTGAATAGCTTAGACAATGGGACTTTATTTCTCACAGTTCTATAGGCTGGGAAGTCCAAAGTCAAAGTGTGTTTCTTAGTGAGGATCTCTTCCTGGCTTGCAGATGGCCACCTTCTATGTTCTCACATGTCACAGAGAGAGAGAGAGAGGAAGCTCTCTGGTGTCTCCTTATAAAGTCCTTATAGAAGCACTTATCCCCCATGAAGGCCCCACCCTTGTGATATCCAATATCCTAAAGGCTCCATCTCCAAATACCATCACACTGTGGAGGATTAGGGCTTCAACATATGAATGGGGGTGGAGTAAGGGCAGGATACCATTCCGTCCATATCAGCAGGTCATAGACAAAAATGCATGCAGTATTATTTTACATATATAATGTTCGAAAACATGCAACTGCATTTCACAGTTCCCATGTGGCAAAGCTATGAGGAAAGAAAAAGAATTGTAAGTATAATCCTGCTAGTGGTTACTCCTGATAGAGAGGAAGGGAAATGCAATTATAGAGGGGCACATGGCAGGTTTCAAAGGTATAGGTAATTGTTTTAGAATGCAACTAGGCAAATACAGCAGCCTAAAGGAAATAAAAGTGGATTTTTCCCATATCGATGTCTGGATAGGCATGGTAGGACTGCATGGCAGCTCGATGATGTCAGACACAGATTTCTTTCATTTTATTGGTCTGCCACCGTTAGGATGTCCGTGTCCTTGTGGTCAAAAGTTGCTGGCCGTGACTCCCAACAAATTCGAAAGAGAAAAAGAGAAGGGGCTGCTATGCTTCTTTCTTTTGAAGGCCATGACCAAAGGTTGCACACATCACTTCTGCTCTCATTCCACTGGCCAGAACCTGGCCACATGGCTACTATGCCTAACTGCAAAAGAGCCTGCAAATGCAATCTTTAGCCAGACAGCCATCTGCCCAGCTAAAATTTCTGTTATTTATTTATTTAGAGACAGAGTCTTGACCTGTCGCCCAGGCTGGAGTGCAGTGGCACAATCTGAACACACGTCAACCTCCTTCCAGGTTCAAGTGATTCACCTGCCTCAGCTTCTTGAGTAGCTGAGACTACAAGTACGCACCACCACACCCAGCTAATTTTTGTATTTTTAGTAGGGTTGGGTTTTCACCATGTTGGCCAGGCTGGTCTCAAATGCCTGATCTCAAATGATAATCCTGCCTTGGCCTCCCAAAGTGCTGAGATTACAGGTGTGAGCCACCACAATTGGCCAAAAACAGTTCTATTATTATTGAAAAGTGAGGCAGTGAGTATTGCAGGGGGCCATCAAGCTGTCTCAATCACAGTTTTTTAACTGAGTAGTAGTAATGTGTTCATTTTACTATTATTTATGCCATCTCTATCTATATATATCTACATATATATAGATTATCCTATGCCAAGCATATATATGATATATATCTACATATATACTATTTACATATATGTACATCCATATCTACATACATCTAAATAGATATAGGTGGCATAAATATTTGTATATTCTACATATATGAAATGTCATAATTTAAAAATAGTGAAAGTGTAAATATAAAAACCATTTTTTTAAGTACTCATCATTCTCTAAGGTGATTTTTCCCTGTGCTGCTTTGCTGAATTTTAGAAAATTTCAAATTAATTCAAGACATACTAAGGCATATTTATTTCTTTGACCTTAGCCCTCTAACATACTCTAATGTCAAAAAAGTATATCAGAGATTTCCTAATTTTATTTCTTGCATCATGGCCCCCTTCCATGTTCACGGTTTGTTATGTAGTGATTGATATATACAATGTTTCCCCCTTTTCTTGACTTAACTGGTAGCTTACATTGATGAGTTTCTATCCTATGCTAAGCCCTGTTCTAAACATCAGGAGTTATCCCAGTTACTCCTCACAAAAACTCTGTGAAATAGACCGTTGTTCTCCCTATTTTGCAGAAGAGGACATTGAAGCACGGTGAGGTCCAAAAACGGACCCATGACTGCACAGCTAGCGGAACGGTAAAGCCAGGATTCAAGCCCATGCAGTCTGATTTCAGAGCTGATGTTCCCAATGACTGTAAAATGCCACCTATTAACTTACATGTATTAAATGTAGGACTTCAGTGGGTACTTTTATCAATATGGAACAGTCAAATTTCTATATATCATGTTGGTTTTGTGCCATTCCAGTCCATTCTAAATATTATGACAACAATTATTGCACTAAATTTACTAAAACTAAGTAAGATATATTCCCTTGTTCAGAAGCCTTTGAGAAAGTCCAACCTCCCTCACTTGGCATTTGAAGGCCCACTCTACCCTCCTAGTCTTACCTCCCTGATATCTCTTCCCCCATTCTTCTCCCTGTCTCATGCTCCAGCTGCCTGAGCCCATTGGCAGTCCCCAAACCCACTCTCATTCGTTCCCTGTTAGGGAGTACCCTCTATCCCTTATTATCCCTATCACACTGCCCATCACTCAAGACTCAGCTTAAATTCCACCTTCTCGAAAATGACCTCTCAGATTCTTCCAGTTTAATCCTCCTGCTCCTACACAACCAGAGCACTTTGTACACTGTTATGCAGGCTATCTTTGTTCAGTTACTCATGTATTGATTAGCCTCCCCACCCAGCTCATAAAGTGTCAGACCATCCCTGCACTGAGTGTGTTCCTCAATGCCTGGCATCTGGTAGACGTCCATAATTCAAAGAAAATTATTTTAAAATAATTACAGACACACAGGAAGTTGCAAAAATAGTACCAAAAATCCCTTGTACACAGCATCCTCCTATGGTAACTTCTCACATTTCCAAAGCACAATAGGGATGCATAAATGTTTATTTGATGGTTTAACTAAATTGAATTCCTTTCCCAAAGAAGAAAGAACATTTGCTTTAGGCTCTTGATTTTACTACTAGTTCTTTTGCATAACTTTTAGTGATATTTAAAATCTTCCTTAACATTCTCAATCTCTAGGTCAATTTTCCAGAAAAATGTTAAACAGTGTCATACAGGCAGATTAGGTACTGTTGTGTATGAAATAACCAGTTAAAAGTCCATGGACTTTCACTGGTTTGAAAGAAAGAATGGGTTGCAGTAAGAAATCACCTGGCTAAAGGCCAGGCGTGGTGGCTCACACCTGTAATCCCAGCACTTTGAGAGGCTGAACCAGGTGGATCACTTGAAGCCAGGAGTTTGAGACCAGCCTGGCCAACATGGTGAAGCCCAGTCTCTATTAAAAATACAAAAATTAGCCATGCGTGGTGGCACACGCCTGCAATCCCAGCTACTCAGGAAGCTGAGGCAGGAGAATCTCTTGAACCCAGGAGACGGAGGGTGCAGTGAGCCCAGATCATGCCACTGCACTCCAGCCTGGGCAACAGAGTGAGACCCTGTCTCAAAAAAAAAAAAATCACTTGTCTAGGCTTGCATTGCAATAGAATTTTATCATGAAGCATCAAGCTATCTGTGTGTTTAGAATTCTGAGCTTTAGACCTATAAGCTGGAGTATTTGTCGTTAGTATAGTTTTATGGTATAATGCTTGCTTCACTTGTTTGAGTTTTGTATTTTTATGGTTTTGTACTTTGAGACTCTAAAGTCTAAATTTTATGGAACTATGGTACTTTACAAAATTCATGGATAGATAGGCAGTATTCAATAACAGATTGACTAAAACCTTTGCTCTCCTCTCTAAAAATGCGTAATTTCCTGGACAGGATCAGAAAACAAAATTTCACAATACAATCCCTGAGATGTTGTAATTGTGCCCTTTATCTGAAATTGCAAAAGCAATTTAGGGTTAAGAAAATTGATTTCCTTCAGAGACACATTTCTTAGCATTGGATCTTGTTTACATCCTTTAATCATCATCTTTTTTTAATAATCTTTTTCGGAGTTTATATCCTACTGCTCTAAAATGCTTTCTCTTGTATGATTTGAGAAACACTAGAGGAAACATCCTTCCTCAAAGACTCCTTTTTCAGGAACCCAGTTTGCCTAAAATCCCACAGTGAGTTAGCTTTTGAGTTAGGGCTTTTAGGAGTAACAGTTCAAGTTCCATCTAGACATTAGGCTAGTTCATTATCAGGAATACCTGAGAAAGGATATATTTATCAGGACGTTTTTCCTCTGGGACAGCTAAGAGACAATGCCTCTAAATAATAACCATGCAAGGAACAAGACAGACAGAGTTTGGGGCATGGCCTCTCCAACATAAACAAGCACGCGAATCACTGGGGAGCCTGTTACAATGCAGACGCTGAACTTAAGGATCTGGGGCTGGACTCGAGAGTTTTCATTTTTTTTTAATTGTACAATAGTTTCTGGGGTACAGGTGCAGATCATGCAGGGGTGTTGCATAGGCGCATACATAACCAGGTGGTTTGCTGCCCCCATTCCCCCTTCATCTATATCCAGCATTTCTCCCCACGTTATCCCTCCCCACCCTCCCCACTGCCCACTGTCCCTCCCCTAGCCCCCCAACTGACCCCAATGTGTGATGCTCCTCTCCCTGAGTCCACGTGTTCTCATTGTTCAACACCCATCTATAAGTGAGAACATGTGGTGTTTGGTTTTCTGTTCTTGTGTCAGTTTGCTGAGAATGATGGTTTCCAGATTCATCCAAGTTACTACAAAGGACGTGAACTTGTCGTTTTTTATGGCTGTGTAGTATTCCATGGTGTATATGTACATTTTCTTTGTCCAGTCTGTCGAGAGTTTTCATTTCTAAGGAGCTCCCAGGTGGTCAGCTGAGTAATGAGGGACAGAAGCACACCATCTTAGGAGGCTTGAGGGGAGACACCACTCTGAGCTCTCTGGCTCTCAGGCCTTCAACTACACCTCCAGCCTTCCTAGGTTTTGTGGGCAGCAAATCATGGGATTTCTCAGCCTCCATAATTCCATGACGAATACCTTATAATTCATCTCTTTCTAGATTTTTCTTTTTCATTCCTCTTTTCCGTTTCCTTTCCATTCCCTCACCTTTCCTTCCTTCCGTCTCTCTTGTTTCCTTCCTCTCCAATTGGTTGTTTCTCCGAAGAACCCTGTCTAATATAATAGCCAAGCGATAGCCTTGAAGACTGAAAGACTGCAGGTCCATTGTCAGGAAAGTTTCAGAGTCACCTGTCCTTGAGTGAACCATATAGGGTTGGACCATTAAACTAAAATAACTGCTTTTGCTTATTCTTTTTTTTTTTTTTTTTTTTTTTTGAGACGGAGTTTCGCTCTTGTTACCCAGGCTGGAGTGCAATGGCGCGATCTTGGCTCACCACAACTTCTGCCTCCTGGGTTCAAGCAATTCTCCTGCCTCAGCCTCCTGAGTAGCTGGGATTACAGGTGTGCATCACCATGCCCAGCTAATTTTTTGTATTTTTAGTAGAGACGGGGTTTCACCATGTTGACCAGGATGGTCTCCATCTCTTGACCTCGTGATCCACCCGCCTCAGCCTCCCAAAGTGCTGGGATTACAGGCTTGAGCCACCGCGCCTGGCCTGCTTTTGCTTATTCTATGGGTGACTTTTTTGTAAAGTGTAATACAATGATAGACATCTCTACAGTCACCACTGTAGATTGAAGACCAGAGGCCTTTCCTTCTCTCCATTTTCTGGGCACCAAGAAAGATTCCTGCTGACTCTGGAATCTGAATCCCCAAACAGGACAGAGTGAATTTCTCAATCTTCCTAGCTAGTGGAGAACTCAGAGTTACATTTAATTTGATTTAGGAAAATTAAGTAATACGGTAAGTCCTGTACTCCAGTCTAGTATGATACCCACATTGATAATAACAAATACATAAACCACACTACATAAACCTCACTAACTTCTGCATTGTTGAAGTGCTTTCTTATACCTGCATCCTGCCCTGTTTATGTGTTCCCTTTTGTGTACTAGTCTTATAAATTCTTTGAAGGCATGAATACCTCTTTTTTTTTTTTTAAGATAGGGACTGGCTCTGTGTCCAGGCTGGAGTATAGTGGTGTGATCTCAGCTTACTGCAACCTCCACCTCCAGGATTAAAGTGCTTCTCATGTATCATCCTTCTGAGTAGCTGGGACTACAGGCACGCACTGTCACACCTGGCTAACTCTTTGTTGAGACAGGGTTTTGCTATCTTGCCCAGGCTAGCCTTAAACTCCTGCACTCAAGTGATCTGCCTGCCTTGACCTCCCAAAGTGCTGAGATTACAGACATGAGCCACCGCACCCAGCCTGAAGTAACTTATTTATCAAGTTGCAAGCTTAATCCATTACAGTGGTATGTGCAGAATTCAATAACTAATTTGTTGAGCTGAATAGTATTTCAGAATCTATTATAAAAATTAATGGTTAAAGGCATATTACCTTGTTCCAATGCCTCTTAAAATTGGTGTTTTTTTTTTTCTATTTTGATATTAATCCAGATGAGAACATTCATTAAGCCTTCTTTTAAGAAGGCTTTTAAATTCAAATAAGAAAAAAGGGCACAGATCCTGTTGTTAAGCAGGGCTGTAGATTTTTTTTAAAAAGGTTTTCATCAAATTGAATGGACACCATCAGCAAACCCTAACTCTATAACAGGTCTGTTGTCTGCAACACCCTCTGTCACTGTGACGAGCTGTTCTGGCAGATGCTTTGGCAGCTCTGGCCAAGATGCCTTGCTAGACACTCAGGAAGGACAGACCTGGGTTTGTCCTTCGAAGCAGAAATAAACAACTCTGCTTTGCTTAGAAAAATCTATTGGATCAAGAGAAAGATGGGTTTTCAAGATTCAATCATGGTGTATTGTATTACGTTTTTGGCACTGAGGGGGAAAACAGCATTTATAGCCTACTATTAAACTAAAATGACTGCTTTTGCTTATTCTATGGCTTGCATTTTTGTCAAGTATAATACAATGACAAAGCACAGATCATAATGACCAAAGTGCTGACCTCAAATGAGATTTTGTTTGCAATTTTTAATTAAGCAATCTGGGCAAACATTTTTATTTTTTCTCTTCAACATAAGGAGGAAAGAAAAAGACCACACTTAGGGGCCTGATGGAAAAACAGAAAATGCGTTCTCATTTCAACCAGATTTCAAAGCAGCAGAGTGCAGAGAGGCAGTGGCCAGGCCCTCAGTATTCCTCGGGATTGCTTGAGTGTAAGTCTCGCAAATATGAATCAATTATGTTTGGAGGTACGCCTTGCAAGAGGAGCCTGCAGAAGGAGAGCCCACCTAGCAAGGACAAAAAGGAAAAGAGACAAATAAAAACCATCTACATGAAAAATCACTGAAACAATACTTCTTGACTAGCTGCTCGAAATGTGGCTAATTATGTTCCTGTTAGTTACAAAGATTCATTCAGTCTCTACTTGGAAATCTTCTCCTGGTTTTAGTACATTTAGAATTTAAAGCACTTGGCATCTAGAAGGAAAAGCAAGTTCCCAGCAGACCCATAGCAGTTTTCCCCCTACTATTGTTCAATCTTCATTTAAATTCCCAAGTGGTTGGAAAATATTTATTGCTCTTTGAGAGGTTTTGTGATTCCTCATAGATGATTTAAATGTTCTGACTGAATAGCAGAATACATGCATATCACATTATGGATCAGTGGGAAGATCTGCTTCCAGTTTGTTAATGTTCTTTATAATTAAGCACAGAGAGTTCTGATTCAAGCACATTGGAAAAGAAAAAAACTACTCCCTTTAACTTTGGCCATTTATGCATGTCAAAAGCACAAAAAGGACATTGGAAATATTTTGTTAAAATTATAATAATAAGACTGGTCCAATACTTTCTGAAGGTGAGAGAAACACCTACCAATATTTCATACCTACCTTCTGAGTTTCTGAATTATATTAAAAAAATAAAAGTACCCTTCAAGAGAGAATCCATGAAACCACAAAAATTCATGGTCCTTTAGTGAAGTGCTTCACTACTTGCTAATAAATTCACGTCCAGACAAAGCAGCATGCCATTTGAACATTCTTAAAAACTTCTTTAATGCAAATTTGAGAAAGTCATTCTCCTTTTTTTAAAAAAAACAACTCAAGTCACATATTGGTAGAAATGATGCCACTTATGTACATGTCCATTCCTTGATGCAAATAATTCAGGATGCTTGGGTATCACTCGTTTTTGTCTACATTAAATGCTTTGATTCATGCTCTACTGCATTCAACAACTTGCTTCATGTCAACAGGAGATTGCTGTGATGGATAAGTACTAGCTGTTAATTTCAGGATAGTGAAATACAAATTAAAACTACAAAGTTAGCGATTTAAAATAAGTCTATTTTCATTGGATTACATAATGAAAATCATGCCATACTCCACAGGCTTGGTATGGCTTATGACAGTCATAAGCTTCATATGCCAAAACCATATGAAAGCTTACCTTAGATGATATTATACATTCAAAAATCCTTATTGTGCAACAACTAAGGAAAAGAGAGAAAGAGGGAGAGTGAGAAGTTGTAAGCATTAATAAAGTGCTAACACCAAAGTTGAGTACTTGTTGGATGAAATTATGGTCATGATTATGATGAGGTGATTTCATTAATCCTTAGTCATGTGAAAGATGTAGGAAAATAGAAGCACATGAAATAAAGGGTGAGGATCCAGTCACGTCAAAAGGATCATTAATATGTAAAACATTTATTAATATGCACAACCACTTTGCCTGAATAGGTGGCAAAGCCAATCTGATTGTATAGTGAATATCTATGGTGAGAGCTTCCAAACCATTAGCTTAAAACAAAAACCAAAACCCTACAACATATATATATTGTGTTTTTCAACAAAAGAAAAACATAGACAATAGACAAAGTGTTAGTGTACATATATATATGTTGAAATTCTAAAAGGCAAAATTATCAAGTACAAATATTAGACTAGTGTATTCTATAATATTGTATTCTGAATGAAATATCTATGACTGATCTAAATAGACACAAAACTTAACCTTATGTCACAAAGCTACTCTATATACAAACTACAAAGTTTTCAAGAAAGAACCTTACATTTTTCCTATTGAAAGCTGATATTATCTTTGGAAATTCACAAAACAAATTTTGTAAACTCAGGCATAGGTCTATATCATTAGGGTTTTCATTAGATTGTGTACCCAGCTGCAAATAACTCTTAATTTGCAATTCCAAATGGGAGTGAATCACACATATATGATAGCACTCATTTATTGCTTAATACATTTTGTAATAGAGCCTAGAATTTTCTTTCCTTTTAAGTTTATAAACTATGAAATAATTTGAGTCCCCATGAAAATGTCCAAAGTCTTCAACAGGTAGATGGGTTACAGATATTCTACTGGTGAATTTGTAATGGGAATATTTTAAATATGTAAGTTTCCCGATTTTTTTATTTTTTATTTTTTTAAGACAAAGTCTCATTTTGTCACCTAGGCTGGAGATCTCGGCTCACTGAAGCCTCCTTGACCTTCTGTGTCCGAGCAGTCCTCCTGCCTCAGCTCTCCAAGTAGCTAGGACTACAGGCATGCACCACCACAGCTGGCTAATTTTTGTACTTTTTGTAGAGATGGGAGTTTGCCGTGTTGCCCAATCTGGTCTTGAACTCCTGGGCTCAAGCCATCCATCTACCTCAGCCTCCCAAAGTGCTGGGATTACAGGTGAGAGCCACCATGCCCAGCCTCTAAATATTGGATCTATTTTTGTATCCTCTTTATTAGAAATGCTCAGAACATTTTTTTTAAATGCTTAAAATGTTCAGTTTTCTAAATCACATTATGAATGTAAGGAAACTATGGTGTAAACTATCTTTTAAAAAGCCTTTCTATGTTTACAAAATGAAAATATTAAAGAAATATTGATTTCCAAGTTTTGATAGTCTTATTACATAAAATGAGATCATCTTCAAATGTAGCTTTCCAGCTTTATTTATGGGGACAAGTGGTATAGAAAGTAGTTTTCTGACAAAATTTACTTTCTACATTACTTAATATCCTTGAATAATTTGGCCTTCCTTGTTCATGGCATAAACACTGTATGCCATGAGCTGCTAAGAGATACAGTGAAAAGCAAATGAGAAAGTCAAGCTTTACATGCAAAGTGCGTTTTCATGTAAGAGGAATGGAACGGAAAGTAGAATATCCAGTGGGATATAAACTTTTTAAACCTGTTGCTGCCCCTCCAGGAAGACTGGTTGTCCAGGGGTATTTACTCCTTGATATATCACTGTAGAATCAGAATATTTGTACCAGTATTTATTTATTCTCAATTGACATTCTTACCTTTTTTCACAGCTTAACTTGATTCAAGTTACCTATTATCAGATAACAATCTGATGATAAATAATAATTTCAGCTTTACTTTTAGGACCAAAAGGTTTTATCAATATATCACAGTGAATACTTTATTATGAACTTATGTACTAGAATACGTTATTCTTTTTATCAAATTCAATTACTGTACAATTTACTATATTATCACTAAAAAGAATATACCATGTATATGTATAATACTATTCAACAGTATTCGCTTTTAAAGAGGACCCCAAATATTGTTCCATTTGTTAAAGCATCATTTTATGTCATTAACAACATTCAGCTAGTTTCAAAGCATAAATAAGTGGTATTTTTTTAAAAAGTTTTTGTTTTTTGGGGGGATATTGAAACAAAAGCATCAACAATACCATGGAACTAATAAGGCTAGCAGTTTAGAAACCAGATGATTTGCAATTGTGACCTTACTAATCATTTAAAGCCAAAAGAGCAGTTAAAAACAATGTTTAAATTTGTAAGGATTATCTCAATAGTAAGGCTTGAAATTTTCTAAGAATATTATATGCCTTATATTTGTGAGAAAAAAATAAAATCTTTTTTCTTTCAATTATGAATTATAAAAGAAAGAGTATAGCTTAAAAAAGTTGTAAGAGGAAAGTGGCTGGGCACAGTGGCTCATGCCTATAATCCCAGCATTTTGGGAGGCCAAGGCAGGTGAATTGCCAGATGCCAGGAGTTTGAGACCAGCCTGACCAAGATAACAAAACCCCGTCTTTACTGAAAATACAAAAATTAGCTGGGTGTGCTGGTGCATGCCTATAATCCCAGCTACTTAGGAGGCTGAGGCACAAGAATTGCTTGAACCCAGGAGGTAGAGGTTGCAGTGAGCTGAGATTGCACCATTGCACTCCAGCCTGAGCAACAGAGTGAGACTCTGTCTAAAAAAAAAAATAGTTAAAAAAATATGTTATATACACATATATGAGAAAGTTATTTTGTTGAAGAAGTTTCTCCATCATATTTATACTAGATTTAGGTCTAAAAGACTCTTAAAAAAAAAACCATAAATACTCAGACATTTACTATGATTTTCTAAAATAGATATTTACTTTCTGAGTTTTAGATCATAATTTCTTCATTATAGAGATGTTGGAAAAAAAGATTTTTGGTTATTACAGAATGGCAATATAATACAGTTAAGAATGAGAGAAAACACACTAGGATCATGTCACGTATTATCTCACAATGGTGACTCTTTGAAGGGGTTTTCATGGTGTCCCAGAATAGGTTCTGCTTATAAAGAAAAATGTCAGTGTAAAAATGGTAGTTGATTAATATGAAAATTGGTTAAGATGGCAGGTTATGCTGAGACTTTTCAACCACATAAATCCTTATGTGTTTTCTTGGTTTACATTAGTTGCCACACTTCTGAAAACTAGTGTCAGTGAAATGTATACCTATAAATGGAAGTTCTCTACTTAGAGTTTTGAAAAGCATCCTGTTATAATATGTGTATGCTATATTCTATATGTGTAATATCAAACACTTAATTAGCAAAACTATAAAAATGTCAGAAAATAATAAACTTTACAAAATAGTAAACTAATTAAAAATAAAATAAAAAATAGTGCACATTTCTCAATTGCCATTTCAATAGATGGTGTTTTACACTAGGCTTCTATTTATAGATGGATTATGCCACCAAAGTGATAGCCCGTTGACTATATTCTTTCTTACCATGCTGTACACGTACTAACATTCCACTGAAATTAACAGTCTCTTAGTTAACGTGAATCATGTAAGATAAAAATAAGTTAACTTAAATAATCAAGTAGTCTTCCAAAAATAAAGTGAAGTGAATGCAGAATGTAAAAATGTCTTGTCTCCCTGAATTCCCTCCCTGCTTCCCTTGCCTCCACCCCCGTCTCCCACCCTTGCTGCAGCATTTTGGCAAGCAGTTTGGATTTTGCATTAAGAACAAAAATTCAACAATTTTCTTTAGTTTTAGTCTATACATGAGATATTGGATGTCATACCTTTCACCTCCAGTTTGCATTCAATCTCCACTGTCCCAAGGTCATTGACTGCTTTGCAGCAGTAAGTGCCTCCATCATAGGGGCTGGGCTTGCGAATTTCCAGGGTACAGACTCCCTGGTTGCTGAACATCCTGTATCTTGGGTCATCCACAATAGCAACTTTGTTTTTCATCCAGGTTATTTTAGGCTGAAGTTCAAATCGAAGAAAATTAGGTCAAAACATATCTGTACTTGGCATATTAACAGACCGTCAAGAGCCAGGGACAGAATTTTAAAGCGTGGCTTAAAAAGAAAGTGCATCTGAGGATAGACTTCTACTTGGGCATTGTTTCTCACATTAAACTCTACTTAGTGGTTGGCAAAGAGGCAAATGAGCAGTTCTGACAAGGCCTCATTTGTTCAGAGGCAATGCTATGGCAGTCTTCTCAAATGGATTCAGTTGCATTTCAATTTGATCTACACAAATACAAACTTTCAGTTACAGGATGAACAAGTTCTGGCATTGAAGGTACAGCATCGGTGGTGATGAATGTATGAATTTGATTGTAATAATCATTACACAATGTGTGCACATATCAAATCATCATATTGTTTGGCTTTAATGTATATGACCTTTATTTGTCAATTAAATATTTGCAAATTAAAAAACAATTTCATCATAGGTTCATGATGTTAACTCATTGTGGAACGTGCGTATTTGCTGGGAATTTTTTCAGAGAATCCCCATTAGGTGTCATGACTATTTGATTTTCCTCACTTCCTTCTCCTGATACTCTGTTTAAATTCTTTATGAACTGCACCTGCCTCCTCATTACTTAATCTTTCCTCTGACGTCTGTATTCATTATCCAGTGACAATGGATCTACTCCAACCGGATAATGCAAGATCAGTAATGACCCAATCACCCAGGAAGATGACTTGATTCTCCTTGATCTGTGAATTACATTTGATATTAGTGACTCTTCATTCTCATATTATCTTCTCCCTTCTTTTGTAAATATGCACCCTCTGCATTCTCTCTTCCACCTCTTCTATTATTCTGTCTTGCTCAGAACCTAGAGATGGAACCTCTGTCTCCTTCACACAGTCTTCTTCCTCCTTCCGCCCTTCAAATGGGAGCGTTCATTGAGGCTCACACCTTGGTCACTGGCTTTTCACTCACTATCCTCTCTTCAATGATATTCCGTTCTAAATATTTGGCAAGGGGTAGAATATAGTATCTCCATGCCTGGGACTCCCAAACCAGAAGTAACAGCCCTGGCCTTTCTCCTAAGCTCTGGGTGAACCTTTCCATCTCTTCCTCATCATTCCCACTTGGATGTACCAACATCACTTCCAATTAAACATTAATTCAGCATCTCTCTCCCATCCTCAGTCTGGCTTCTTCCTTTGACTTTCTTTCTTTCTTTTTTTTTTGAGACCCAGTTTTGCTTTGTCACACAGGTTGGAGTGCAGTGGTGCTACCTTGGCTCACTGCAACCTCTTCCTCCCAGGTTCAAGTGATTCTCCTGCCTCAGCCTCCTGAGTAGCTGACATTACAGGTGTGTGCCACCACGCCTAGCTAATTTTTGTATTTTTAGTAGAGACCATGTTGCCCAGGCTGGTCTCGAACTCCTGACCTCAAGTTATCTGCCCATCAGCCTCCCAAAGTGCTGATATTACAGGCATCAGTCACTGCGCCTGGCCGACCTCCCTATTTCTGATCAAGGTCTACACAGAAAAAAAAAAATGTTCACAAATTTTCCCTATTCTAGGGTACTTTCTCTCAGTGCACCCAGGGATATGTATATCTCTATGGGTGATTCATTAATTCCTTGTTCTTTTCAAATGCCAACATGAAACCTTAAAACCTTTCTAATCTCTTCAATTGGATGTGATAGTTCCCTTCTTAGCACAGTGCACCCTTATCAAAGCACATTTATATTTTGTCTTACATTATAGTGTAATTGTTGTTTACTTTAACCTATCACAGAACTCTTGACATTACCACCTAATTTTCCAAGTGAAATAATATTATTAGACTTCTGTCTCCTTACACAGGAGATGTTCTTTTTAAATAGGTGGTTTGCTTTTTCTTTTGAAGGAATCCCTTAGTTAGTAAAGAAATGTAAGCATTTTTTCCTACTACATCTGAGTAGTATGCCTAATTATCTACCACCACTACCACCCTCTAATCCCCCAACCTGGGAAGACACAAGTAGCAGCTAGAAGGTTTGTTTATATTATTACTTACATTATAACACAGCAAATACAAGGGAGGGACTTTAACCGATGTCATAGAAGAACATAGTACCTTAGGATTTCCTCTCACACTGCAGTTCAGGGTGGCATTGTAACCAGCTATGGCATAGGTGTTAACCAAAGGCTGAGTAAACATGGGTGCCTCTGAGAAATCAAAGTCTTCATACACTGGATTTTTGTAGATTTTACCTTAAAAACAAGCATTACAAATATGTTAGAGTATGTAAATTGGCTTGAGAATATATTATTGGTGGTATACTTTACTTACTATTAAAACTTCCCTAAACTTAGAAAAACATGGAAAAAGATGAGCATATGCCACGTGGCAAACATAGTGAGGGGTACAAATGTATGGCCAATCATCCGAGGGACAGAAAGCCAGAGTGGCCATCTGAAACTGAATCAGATATTGAGAAGACTTTGGTGTCTTTCTGAGTATTTTGATCAGAAATTTGTTCTAATGTGAAAATTCACAAGGAAGGTTTTATAAAGAGTGGTTTACGATGAAATGGGAGGATAAGGATGGAATTCAGTTTCTCCTTTTATTGTAGAGTGGATTCCATATGTAGCTACACTGAAGGTGTCCAAGAACAAAAGTAACAGAAACTCTAGAAGTAAAGGTCTACTTTTTCCTATCTCTGGAGTATTAGCCATTTATAGATCCACTGCCTAGAAGATGGAATAAATTAAAGCTTATATTTTTAAAAAATGCAATAATAATATAATTTCACTTAAATTAAACCCATAAAATTAAAAATTTACTTGAACTCAATGACCATAATTTAAAAATGTACATTTACCATTTTTTATTCCCTTTCACCACATCTTTTCTTCCAGTGTTCTCTGTGTAGTCACTGTCAACCAAGGTTTTCAAATGTCAGTCCATTCCCAACTCACCGTCCTTGGCGATCACAGCACTCTCTTTAGTCATGGTGGCATCCTCACTGAGGCCGCACATGTTTTCAGAAAAGACCCGGAAGTAATACTCATTCCCTATGACCAGTTCAGTAATGGTGGCATTGGTTCGGTGATAATGCTCAATGACAGTGAACCATTCCTAAAAGAAAAAAAAATAACTGGAGGAAAATCACCTAAAAGTATATAATTTTTCCAACTGTTGACTGGAATAAATAACAAGGATATTCTATTAACAAAAAGAAAAAAAGACCACTCATATTTACGTGAAGAGTAATAACAATATATTGTTACAATGTGTTGGGACCATGTATATTTTATTTGTTTAATATTTTACAACTTATTTGCAATTGACTATGTAATTTAATCTTCATTTACACATTAGATTCATATACCCTAGTTGTCAACTACTATGTTTATATTTTTTCATAACCTTTAGGTGTCTGTCATCTATTTATCTACCTATCTACCTACCTATTTGTCTGTCTAGGTATCTTTTGTAGAATAAAGTACATTTACTTAACATTAGTATTATTACATATTTTGGTCTTTTTGAGACAGGGTCTTGCTCTGTCACCCAGGCTGGAGTGCAGTGATATGATCTTGGTTCATTCACTACAGTCTTGACCTCCCGGGCTCACGGGACCCTTTCACCTCAGCCTCCCGAGTAACTGAGATTACAGGCATGTGTTACCACACCCAGATAACTTATTTTTTGTAGAGAAGAGGTCTTCCTATGTTGTCCAGGCTGGTCTCAATCTCAAACTCCTGGGTTTAAGCAATCCTCCTGCCTCAGCCTTCCAATGTGCTGGGATTACTGCTCCCAGCTGATATTACTAACTTTGGTTCTTTTTTTTTTTGCGATGGAGTCTTGCTCTGCCATTTTGGCTGGCGTGCATTGGCACAATCTTAGCTTATCACAACCTCTGCCTTCCAGGTTCAAGCAATTCTCCTGCCTCAGTCTCCCAAGTAGCACACCACCACATCTGGCTAATTTTTATACATTTAGTAGGGACAGGTTTCACCATATTGGCCAGGCTGGTCTCAAACTCCTGACCTCAAGTAATCCATCTGCCTCAGCCTCCCAAGGTGTTAGGATTACAGGTATGAGCCACCACACCTGGCCAACTTTAATTCTTTCAAGTCTCTGCTCAGATATCACCTCCTCCCTACCTGTTTTCCTTTCCACCATCCAACCTCCATCCCTTTGGTCACACTCTATCACCTTAACTTGCCTAATTTTTTCCCATAGCACTTACCACCTTAAATCGTCTTCTGTATTTACTATTTTACTTGTTTACTGTCTACGTACCCCACTGAAATAGGCACTCTGGGATGTAAAACCTGACTTTTCTTCTAACTTCTCCTATTCCCACTGCCTACCATTGTACCTGGCATAGAGTAAGTACTGTGCACAAAACACTTATTAAATACTGAGTGAATGGATGAATGAGAAGTTATAGCCACATTAAATTTTTTTTTCAATTTTTTTCATCAGACCAAGAAATACAGTGGTTTCAAAGTTTATCTTGCAGTAGAAAACCACACTGCACCACATATTTTTAGTAGCATTAGTTAAGAAAATGCACTTGCTGACAAAAAGACACGTCATTAAGATGTAAATATTTTCATTGAAAATTTTAGGGGCCATCATTTTCTATAAATTTTGGATATTTTAGAGACACTAGACAAATGTAGTTGTGCCTTCCTTCATTCCCAAAGCAGGGTAGGCAAACATTTATTTGGATATTTATTACAGTGTGTTATCACTTGGTTTGATATCTTTCTTCTTGCTTAGATTGTGAGTGCCTCAAGAATAAGAGCTTTTTAAAATTTGATTTAGTGGCTAGAATAGCACTGAACATACAGTAAAAGAATGAAAAAAAAAAAAAGAATATGTGTTAAACATAATGAAAACAATGTTTCTGGAAGGTATGAATGGCTGTGGGAATTTAAGTGAATTCTACTGAGCATTGCATGAGTTGCTTTATATCATCTTAGTTTTGTAAAAATCGAGCAAGGTGCATATCTGCGCTCTCATTTTATAGATGACGAAAATAGAGATCAAAGAGGCCAAGTGATTATCCTTATACGTGTGGTCTTAAGTAGCAATGCTGGGGTTTAAGTCCAACTCCGTGGCTCCACAGGTCTTTTCTTTTCTGCTACATCACGTTACTTCTCCACAGCCCCAGTGGGCCCCTCACAAGCGAGGCCCTCGTGCCTCCTTCTTTACCTCTGTTGAAATGTGCTTTTGCTGTTGCTGAATCAGAGAAAGACAGACCTTACCATGCTCTTCTTGTCAGCCTTCTGGATGGTATACCCTGTGATAGCAGCATTTCCATCATCCTTTGGTGGAGTCCATGAGAGAGCGACGTTTTCTCCCCAGACATCCTCAATCTTCACAGTTTGGGGTGGACCTGGACGGTCTACAGGATAAATTCATGGTGTCACTGCAAGGTCACTTTCTTTGCCAGTCTACACTTTGTTTCATAAGGATATTTTAAAAGGCCCTTTCCTGTGTTACAGGAGGCATAACTCTTCTAGACCATACCATGGGGGCTTCTGAGACCCTCTGCCTTCCAGTAGAATGGATCCAGGCCAGATCCAAGGACATAGATAAGCCTCAACACTCCCTGTGACTTAACAAAACTAAAAAAGGCCTAGCCAGTGGGAAAGGAGTGCTTAGTTGAAAGGGAATGGCCTTTCAACTAAGCAGGGGTGAGAAGGCTGTTACAGGAAGTTGTCCCTCTGATTAGAGAAGCAAATTTACTGAATTTCAGCAAATTTACTGAAATACAATGATAACAATGATTGGAAACAAGGCTTTTTCTAGCTCTGCTCTTAAATTTCTTTTATTTTTTATTTTTATTTTTTGAGATAGAGTCTGGCTCTGTCACCCAGGCTGAGTGCAGTGGTGCAACTTGGCTCACAGCAACCTCCGCCTCCCAGGTTCAAGTGATTTCATGCCTCAGTCTCCCATGTAGCTGGGACCACAGGTGTGTGCTACAATGCCCAGGTAATTTTTATAGTTTTAGTATAGACAGGTTTTTGCCATGTTGTCCAGGCTTGTCTCAAACTCCTGGCCTCAAGTGATCTGCCCACCTCAGCCTCCCAAAGTGCTGGTATTACAGATGTGAGCCACCGCACCTGGCCTTAAATGTATTTCTTGACATTGCAAAAATTACAGAATAATTTAAGTGATGGGGGTCCATCCATAAGGGGTCCTCCCTCTATTCCCCTGACTCTGGACAGAAGTAAGAACCAACCTTATTTATTCTTTGGGCACGTAAGTGTCTAACCACTCCTACAGGATCAAAAAATTCAGTGTTTTACTGTTCAACTTTGATTAGGTACATCTTCCTTATATTAATATTTAATAAAAATTCTTCATTCTCCGTGAAAATTTTATTAGTAAATTTTAGGTGTGGTAAGAAACATATTAAACTATGACTAGAATCTATAATGTCTAGAATGCAAGAATCCAACATAAGAAATAATTTCATCATCAGGGAGATGAGAAACTAAGAGTAAGAGAGAGCTGGGTTGTAGAATAGTACAGAAGGATTTCATTAAAAACTATATTCATCAATTTTCTTGAACATATATGCCTTAAATCTCCCATGATTAGTCCTTTTAGTTGGTGAGAAATCATTCTGAAACAGTAACAAATCTTCTATCAGTATTTTGTTGTTGTTGTTGTTGTTTTTTGACAGAGTCTTGCTCTGTCACCCAGGCTGGGGTGCAGTGGTATGATCTCAGCACACTGCAACCTCCACCTCCTAGGTTCAAGTGATTCTCCTGCCTCAGTTTCCAGAGTAGCTGGGATTACAGGTGTGTGGACTACCACATCCAGCTAATTTTTTTATTTTTAGTAGAGATGGGGTTTCACAATATTGGCCAGGCTGGTCTTAAACTCCTGACCTCAAATGATCTGCTTACCTTGGCCTCCTAAAGTGCTGAGATTATAATCATGAGCCACCATGCCTGGCCTAATTTATCTATTTTTAAAAACAAATCTAAAAAAAGGACTTTTATGTAGAGCCAGCCTAACAAAACTCCTGCTCTTGCCTTGGGGACAGGGAGAATTTATCCCTTTTCTGCTTTGACAGAACGTTCTGGCTCCTTTGCCCAAACCTACCAACGATCTGGATGTCAATCGATGCGCTCTCCGTGAATTTTTCCACTTTGACTTGCAGATCATATTTCCCAGAATGGCTCCTCTCTGCTTTTCTAATAAATATGATTGTATCAGTCTCAGAGTTGCGAATGTTTATTTGATTCTTATCAATATCTGCACCATCCTTCTTCCAAGTTAATTCTGGTCTTGGTTTTCCCTAAAAAGAAAGATGGCAAAAGTAGAGGGAGTAAATAACATTGTCTCAAGATGTTTCTCCGGCATTATGAGCATGACAATGGCTTAACCCATTCTAGACAGGGTTAGAAAACACCACCCTTCCAGTCTGGTTGTGAGCAGTTACAGCAGCAAAGTTGTAATCTGCATTCTATGTGCAAGGCACTACCTTAGATATATAACATTGATTATTTTCCTGAATCTTCACATCAAGCTTAGTATCATTATCCTGATATTTTGGATAGAGAAGTTAAATAATGTGCAAGGTTTTGCAGTTAAGTAAGCACTGGAACCAGGTCTCCCAGCTGGGTCTCCTAGGCTCCAAAGCCTACATAACGCTGGATAATGGTTAAGGGCATGGTCTCTGGGACTCTGGAATCTGTATCTCGCTCCTGACCTCTTAACATCTGTGTGACCTTTGGCAAGTTACTTACTAAGCTTTCCATGCCTCAACAGGAATAATGTATATTTAATTTATATATATATATATCTCTATATAATAAAGATAATATTAGAATATTATCAAAGAATTCAGTTTTACTGTTCTTTATAAAGATTAAAGATAATATTCTAATATTATCTTTTTTTTTTTTTTTTTTTTGAGACGGAGTTTCACTCTTGTTACCCAGGCTGGAGTGCAATGGCGCGATCTCGGCTCACCGCAACCTCCGCCTCCTGGGTTCAGGCAATTCTCCTGTCTCAGCCTCCTGAGTAGCTGGGATTACAGGCACGCGCCACCATGCCCAGCTAAATATTATCTTTATTTATAATATATATATAATTATAAAGATTGAAGTCCTGAGAAAGCTTCTGCCCAATACATAAGTTTTTTCTTTAATTAGTGACATCTGAGTAGTTTTTTTTGTTTGTTTAGACAGAGTTTGGCTCTTGTTGCCCAGACTGGAGTACAGTGGCACAACTTGGGCTCACTGCAGCCTCTGCCTCCTGGGTTCAAGGGATTCTCTTGTCTCAGCCTCCTGAGTAGCTGGAATTACAGACACCTACTACCAGGCCTGGCTAAATTTTGTAGTTGTTAGTAGAAAAGGGGTTTCGTCATGTTGGCCAGGATTGTCTCGAACTCCTGATCTCATGTGATCCACCCACCTCAGCCTTCCAAAGTGCTGGGATTACAGGAGTGAACCACCGTGCCCAGCCAATATCATCTAAATGTTAATGATTATTATTGTACTGTCCCATGCTGCTCATTTTAGATTTGTCTAGAATTTGATCTCTGTTTCCTCTAGCTGTCAAAACTGTAAAAGCAGAATTCAAGAAATCACAATCCCACTCATGAACCTGAGTTTTCATTTCCTTTTTTTTTGAGGTGGAGTTTCGCTCTTGTTACCCAGGCTGGAATGCAATGGCGCGATCTCGGCTCACTGCATCCTCCGTCTCCTGGGTTCAAGCAATTCTCCTGTCTCAGCCTCCCGAGTAGCTGGGACTACAGGCGTGCGCCACCATGCCCAGCTAATTGTTGTATTTTTAGTAGAGACGGGGTTTCACCATGTTGACCAGGATGGTCTCGATCTCTTGACCTCGTGATCCACCCATCTCGGCCTCCCAAAGTGCTGGGATTATAGGCGTGAGCCACTGCGCCCCGTCCGAGTTTTCATTTCTATTACAAAGGAATTTCACCCAGGCTCACCCTGGCCGACAGGAACCAAGCATGAATTCTGTCAGCTAAGGCACAGCTTTCCTGTGGTCTCTGAACGTGGCTAGATTATAATAAGAGATGTAGAGTTACACACCAACCCCTGCTCCCAGAGCCTGAAGAGTGGCTGAGGGTGCTGGACTTGCACATAGGAAGCAGAGAACAACATTGTTGAAGGCAGGGAAAAACAGTTCAAGCTCTTATTTCCGTAAGTATACAACTTGCTCTTAGCCACTGGGGAAAATCGTGGGTTCTCTAATGACATATGGAATGAAAAAAAAAAAAAAAAGCACTGAATTAAGTGACAGGGCCATGGATTCTGTTTTTTTCCCTACCATTGACTTGCAGTGTGACGTTGGGCAAGTCACTTAACTTCTCTGTCAGTTTCTTCCCTTCTTAAGTAAGGCAAGGAAAAATCTGGCCTTCCTGCCTCACAGGACATTTCTGAGGATCAAATGAGAACATATTTGGAAACTCTAGAGGTTATACAAATATACAAACGTCACACTCTGGTCTCATCATTCCTTCCTGGGGGCTGAGAGTCTCTGGGATGTCAGATCTGTGAGGTCCGTGTTCTCATGCTCTTTTCTCTCTCAGACTCAGTGACAGAAGCTGAACACACAGACCCCAAGATCTGGGAACTGGGATTAGCTGTGGTGGCAGGAACAGTGTAGAGACTTGAGAGCTGATTCAGCAGCCCCAGTGCAGGGTTGGGGCTGGGTCCCCAGTGCCTGCTTGTCGCCACTTAAGGTTTTATTTGATGCTGCAGGAGAAGAAAAGGGCAAAGAACCTTGCCAAGCTACCCGCTTCCTCCTTGACTGTGTTCCACTTCACTCCCTTCTTGGCTTCCATTCTGATTGCATGCCAGGGGGATGTAGCACACAATGCCTCTCCTTAGGTTTGCGCCCGGAGTGCAATGAGGATGGCCTCAATTGGCTATCCCTTTAGTTTGGTTTCATGGGAGCCTGGGTTTGAACAGAGTTCTCTCTGTGCGTGCGTGCGTGCGTGCGTGCGTGCGTGTGTGTGTCAAATGTATGTAGAGATCTACATTCTAAAGCCAAACTGTCTGATACAATAGCCACAAGGGACGCAGGGCTATATAAATTTAAATTAATTAAAATAAAAGAAAATTAAAAATGTATTTCTCCAGTCACACTAGCTCCTAGTCACCCATTTCAAGTGCTCAATAGCCACATGTGGCTAGTGGCTACCATATTGGATAGTGCTGATATAGAACATTTCTATCACTGAAAAAAGTTCTATTGACTGGAAGTCACTGTTCCACTGTCTGGAAGTGTCATATGAATAGGGAGCTGGAGAGTAAGATTTGGGAGGTGCAGGGTGTGTGTATGTATTTGTATAAGACCAAAATTGACTATTGTAAGTGAAGACTCGTTAATTTTGTGAAGAACAGATTCTTTTGCTGGAACAATGATTTAATATAGTTCATATATTTCAGGTAGTGGCATCGTGATTTCAGATTTCAGTTGTCCCCTTATTGAAATTATCTTGGTTTGGGGTCATTGTGGGAACTAAGCACATACTGTTTTCCTGAATGTTACACTGAGAGCTCCACTTAAAATGATGAGTTTTACAAATATACATAGGACCAAAAGAATCTTCAAGCATTTCCTCATTTGGTGTCTTCTTGATGTTTCTTTCTTCCCTGCCCATTGTAGTCCCTGAGCTTCAGAAAAGACTGTAACTCATGTGTCTCATGCAGAAAGAAAATCTATAATGGTTTCTATAGTTTTCTCTCTCTTTTTCTTCCTTTGAGATGGAGTCTTGTTCTGTTGCCAGACTGGACTGCAATGGCACGATCTCAGTTCACTACAACCTCTGTCTCATGGGTTCAAGCAATTCCCCTGCCTCAGCCTCCGGAGTAGCTGGAACTATAGACATGTCCCACCACGCCCAACTAATTTTTTTATTATTTTTAGAGATGGGGTTTCGCCATGTTGGCCAGGATGGTCTCAATCTCCTGACCTCATGATCCACCTCCCTCAGCCTCCCAAAGTGCTGGGATTACAGGTGTGAGCCACCACACCTGGCCAGATTTCTCTATTTTGATTGCAGGGGATTGCTAAATTATTCTCCAACTCTCTTTCATTCTTTGTTTATCTCCTCTTCCTCTGAGGAAATCCTGAATCATGATGAACTTATATGCTAGAATACATCTCCCGAATTCCTATAAACCCCACCCTGAAAAGAGAAAATGAGCCACCCCTGAATTCTCACCTGGAAAGGTATAACCAGATTGACAGCTTCTCCAACTCTGCGGATATAGGTTTGCTTCAGGTGTCTTGGGATGCGAATCTTTGGAGGTTCTGAGTGAGGGTAAAATAGCACAATTTTGCAATCAGTATGGTGTCCTGAAAATAGACTTCCAGAAGCAAAATGCCATGGTGTTCACCAGTGTACCCTTGCAGTCATATCTCTGCAATAAAATCTGAGATGTGCCACTAACAGACGATATATGGTAACTGGTTCAAAAAAGATTTTTTTTTCAAGCAGAGATATTTTAACAGTTTGACTCAGCAAAATTTATCCCTCACATCCTTGGCTTTATTACAACTTTCTGTTGTTGTTGTTTTGGACAGAGTCTCACTCTGTTGCCCAGACTGGAGTGCAGTGGTGCGATCTCGGCTCACTGCAACCTCCACCTCCAGGGTTCAGGCAATTCTTCTGCCTCAGCCTCCCAAGTAGCTTGGACTACAGGTGCATGCCACCATGCCTGGCTAATTTTTTGTATTTTTAGTCAAGATGGGGTTTCACCATATTTGCCAGGCTTGTCTCAAACTCCTGATTTCGTGATCCACCTACCTCAGCCTCCCAAAGCGCTGGGATTACAGGTGTGAGCCCCTGCACCAAGCCAAAAACACCATATTTTCTCTTAGGGCCTTACACATACTATGCATGCTTTTTATAATTGCTTCTTTTTTTTTTCCAGACAAAGTCTCTGTCGGCCAGGCTGCAGTGCAGTGGTATTGCTCTCTGCAACCTCCGCCTCCTGGGTCTAAGCGATTCTTGTGTCTCAGCCTCTAAGTAGCTGAGACTACAGGCATATGCCACCAAGCCTGGCTAATTTTTGTACTTTTAGTAGAGATGGGGTTTTGCCATGTTGGACAGGCAGATCTCAAACTCGTGACCTTAGATGATCTGCCCACCTTTTCCTCCCAAACTGCTGGGATTGCAGGCATGAGCCACAGTGACTGACTAGTTATTCATGGTTTCTAACAGTGAGTATATTTGCAGTGAACATTCCACAAAAGATCTATAGGCACCACATTAGTGAGGAGGACTGTCCATTCTTCCTTACCAGAAAAAAACAAAAACAAAAACAAAAACAAAAAAACCCAAAATGTTAGCACTCAGCTAGCTATTTAGGTGACTCTCTTGGAGTTTGACAGTAACTTTCTCCCTGTGTAACTACGGTGGACTACACAGCCGGCAACTCTGACCAACTGTGTAATAAAACTCATTAATTAAACACCATGAAGGTACTAGAGCATGTTGCTGCAAATCCATCAGGAGCAGGGGGTCAAAAGCTCATTGGCTCACGGGGCTGAAGCAGTTCTCCTGACTTATTTCCTTAAGCAAAAGTGGAGCTTCTATGAAAAAAGTCACCTATTCATCCTCCGACTCAGTTGTATGGAGCTTTTCCTGGGGACAACCATTGTACTGCAGTGAGCAGCTTAAGTGCTTCAGACATATTTTGCATTTCATTGTCACACAAGTCTAGAAAAAAAAATACTCAAGGGCTAAGATTTGATGAAAGTTACTATTATTTCTCTTATTTTTGTTTTGTTTTGTTTTGTTTGAGACAAGGTCTTGCTCTGTCATCCAGGCTGGAGTGCAGTGTTACGATCTTGGCTCACTGTAGCCTCTGCCTCCTGGGTTCAAGTGATTCTCCCACCTCAGCCTTCTGAATAGCTGGGACCACAGGCATGCGAAACCACACCCAGCTAATTTTTATATTTTTAGTAGAGATGTGATTTTGCCACATGGCCCAGGTTGGTCTTGAACTCCTGGGCTTAAGTGAGCTGCCCATCTTGGCCTCCCAAAGTGCTGGGATTACAAGCATAAGCCATTGTGCTCAGCCAAAATTAATTACGTTTATGCTTCATTAAGAACATTCTATGGGCCAGGCTTCGTGGCTCAAGACTGAAATCTCAACACTTTGGAGGCCAAGACAGCTGGATCACTTGAGGTCAGGGGTTTGAGACCAGCCTGACCAACATGGTGAAACCCTGTCTATACTAAAAATACAAAAAAAAAAAAAAAATTAGCCAGGCATGGTGGTGCATGCCTGTAATCCCAGCTATTTGAAGGCTGAGGCAGGAGAATCGCTTGAACCCAGGAGGCAAAGGTTGCAGTGAGCCGAGATTGTCCCATTGCACTCTAGCCTGGGCAACAAGATCGAAACTCTGTTTAAAAAAAAAAAAAAAAGGAAGACTGCCAAACTGGCCCTTTTATTTCAACTGTTGAGTGCATGGTGGTGAGGAAGGCAAGGTTGGCTAATATGGTTCCATGGCAATGACTTGGTTCATGCTAAGGTAGCAACAGTTTTACTCACCTTCACTTTTATACTATCAGTGCAGATGTCAAAATATTGAAAGGCACAAATAATATATTCATATTATGAAAATGGTTTTGACCCTGCAGATCTGTTGGAGGCACATGGTTGCTGCAGGGATTGTTTGCATGGTTGCATTAAAACACACTATCTCCACTGTGACTAGGCAGCCCGGCCAGAGTTGGCTCCTGGAACCAGGAGAGGTTAACTAACCAGTCCTCAGAGTACCAAGAGAAACCTGAAGGTGATCTCCTGCATTGCCTGAAGAGAGCTGTTTTGTTAAGTTCTTACTCATAGGAAGCATTAACAAAATATCAAAGGAGTAACAACAAAATAGGAGGTTTTGAGAAAGAAAGTAGTTCGGGCCAGGCGTGGTGGCTCACACCTGTAATCCCAGCACTTTGGGAGGCCGAGGCAGGCAGATCACAGGGTCAAGAGATCGAGACCATCGTGGTCAACATGGTGAAACCCTGTCTCTACTAAAAATACAAAAATTAGCCAGGCATGGTGGCAGGCTCCTGTAATCCCAGCTACTCAGGAGGCTGAGGCAGGAGAATTGCTTGAACTCGGGAGGCCGAGGTTGTAATGAGTGGAGATCGCACCATTGCACTCCAGCCTGGGCAACAGAGCATCTCAAAAAAAAAAAAAAAAAAAAAAAAAGTTTGAAATTAGAAAAAGGCAAGCAATGTAAAAGGGAGTCTAAATTTTGAAAGCGTTGTCACCTACCTATGATTTCCTTCACAAGAATGGGCTGAGAATAGTACTTGGGCTCACTGGCACCAGCTGCATTAACAGCCTTCACACGTACAAAGATCCTTGCATCTGTCGGCAGACCTGTGATGGTGAACTTCGTCTTGTCAATCAGCTCTGTATTTGCAACTATCCAGTCCTCAGCTGAAGTCCGTAAAAGAAAAGGAAAAGAAGGAGGAAAACTGTTCAGTGAAAAAAATGATCTTAACCGTTACAGTCAACTCCAAATTAGTGTTTTACTCATAATAAATCATTTAGAGAGATTATGACTTTGGTCTGGACTCATACTACATGAGTGGACATTTTTCATATATTAAATAAAAAACCTAAAATAGCTAATGTAAATAATAGGAAAAATAAACAATCAGATTCTGCTGTTTCTGATAAACTTCTTATTCAGCATGAAAGCATCCTGAATAATAGTAACTCTCCACAAGAATTTTGTAGCAGTTTTACTCCAATTTGGTTTTATAATGATTCATGCAATAATGATAGCTAGCCATATGTACACATTAAAGCTCAGAAAAACAGGAAAAGGCTATCTTTATGAATGAGAGACACTGACCTTTATAGTCATATTATATATATACATATACATATATATATATTTTTTTGAGACTGAGTCTCTCTGTCACCCAGGCTGGAGTGCAGTGGCAAGATCTCAGCTCACTGCAACCTCCACCTCCCAGGTTCAAGCAGTTCTCCTGCCTCAGCTTTCTGAGTAGCTGGGACTATAAGTGCATGCCACCACACCTGGCTAATATCTTGTATTTTTAGTACAGATGGGGTTTCATCATGTTGCCTAGGTTGGTCTCAAACTCTTGAGCTCAGGCAATCCACCCACCTCGGCCTCCCACAGTGCTGGGATTACAGGTGTGAGCCATCGTGCCCAGCCCCCCCTCCTTTTTTTTTTTTTTTTTTTTTTGAGACGATGTCTCTCTGTGTCACCCAGGCTGGAGTGCAGTGGTGTGATCTTGGCTCACCGCAACCTCCACCTCCTGGGTTCAAGTGATTCTCCTGCCTCAGCCTCCTGAGTAGCTAGGATTATGGGATTACAGGCATGCACCACCACGCCCAGCTATTTTTAGTAGAGTTGGGGTTTCTCCATGTTGGTCAGGCTGGTCTCAAATTCCCGATCTCAGGTGATTCGCCCGCCTCAGCTTCCCAAAGTGCTGGGATTACAGGCATGAGCCACCGTGTCCAGCCATACAATATATTTTTATATTGGTTGATTTATTATAGTGAGACACTAACATGGGTATAGAAAACCTGATCATGTTTATTCACATTCATGAAGAGAAAAAGCTTATATCACAAAGAGAAAACACATTTTATGGGCTGATACCTCATAAAGAGTTGGTACAATTCTATCCTTGCAACCAAAATCTAATTTTTAAAAACTTTTTGGTAGCTTTGTGTATAACATCAAGAGAATTTTAATCCAGCAGGGCTTACAAATGTTTCAGCATCTAAAAGTTAGTGTGCATTTTGCCCACAGGAAGAAAGAAAATTTCAATCTAACATTATTAACTCACTGCTCCCTCTCCCCCAACTCTAAGGATGTGAATGAGTGTGTGTGTGTGTGTGTGTTGAGTATACTTCATGCTTGGTCATCTAACATTCCCAGAAACATTATAATATAGTAAGAAAGTTTGAGAACTTCACAGCATACTTTACCTGGCAGATCAAACGCAGCCTCCCCATTTTCATCAGACTGTTTTGCTGATGTACCTTTGAGAATCCGTCATTAAAATTAATTAAAGACACCCACTTTCACACCAGAAGAATATCGTATCAGCAGTCAGCATTCTCTGTTAGTAAAGTATGCAAAGTGTGCAAAGAGATTTGTCCTCAGAGCAGTGATGGAAGAGACCAAACGTGTTAGGGGGGTTCCTCAGGAGAGCACAGCCTGCTCTGTGCAGACTGCGGCTTCTGTCCTGAGGCACCTGCCACAGAGAAGAGGAGAGAAAAGGGAAGAGAAGAGGAGAAGGGAGGCTGGGACACCTCCAGCGGTGGAAAGAAGAGATAGAGAAGAACAAAGCAAGATCCTGAAGAAAACGGAGGAGCAGGTCCTGGAATCTGCCAGGGAGCAGCTCACAGTGAGACAGTCTATCCTTGTCCCCATCTCTGCCACCCCAACAGAGGAGGATTCTCCTGGGTCCCCAGGAAACACGGTGCTCCCACAGTGGGGCTCCCTCATTTGAGACTGGGAGTGCAGGCCCTTGGGATAAGGCCAGTCCTGTTTCACCAGGGTCCAAGTTCTGAACAGAATTGGAGGCTGCCCCAGCAGCTCAGGAGGCAGCCCTGGTTCCCATGACAATGAACTCTGTGTCAAGAAAACACATTGAGCCTGCCCAGGTCCCTGCATGCCACATGGGTGGCTCATAGGGTGGTCTTGGGCGTACAACACTGGTTTGGGATGATGACTTTCTCAGTATTAGGAGAGGAGTGGGGGCATTGGGGACTGGACTGGCTGTCCCTTACAACCTTTGCCTCTCTCTTGTTCTAACCCTACCAGGAGTATCAAGGAGAAGGAGCAGGCAGCTAGAATATCCTGGCAGCTGGGAAGGCATGTGGAGAATAAAATTTCCTTATGTTGAAAAAGAGATACATCTTTTAACAAACAGTCAGCTTGGGAGCTTCTGTGTTGGTATTTTCATACTCGAGAGACAGTGGATGAGAAAGTGAAAATAAGAGACTGAGAAAACATATACAAAAGAAGGAAGAACTAGTAAAAGAGACAATTTCAAGAGAAAACAGGACGAAACAAGACCAGAGGGGAACAAAAGTAGCCCATCTCTTCACATTGAAACCACTTTAATTGAGGGAAACATAGACAAAGAAGATGGTGTCCCGGGGGATGGGGAAGGAATATGTAAGTTATTTAACGCGTGAGGAGAATTTTTAAGAAAGGAAAGAACTAGAGTGCAGAAAGAAAACAAAGAAGAGTACAACGCTGCAGGCATTAAAAAAATAATAAAACAAAAACAAGAGAAAGGCAGAATCCAAAACAACACACGATCTTAACAAACAAAGAATTCTCTTACAGAATAAAACCTGATGTCTCTAAAAGCATTAAACACTATAGAAAATTAGTCTGGAGAACAACAGCCATTAAAAGAGAATGAAGGGTCGGCAGCCACATAAAGAAAATAAGAAAAGACTGCAAGAAGAAAGAGATACACGTTATGAGAGAACTTCCATAGAAAGCTTGTTCCAAAATGTTACTGGGCAAAATATATACATAATAATGACTGTGTACATATACATATGTATACGCGGATATACATATGTATCTACACAGACCACACGCAAAATTATGTAAAATACACTTTGTTGTATTTTATCTAAGGTGGGTAACATCAAAATGACAGCCATTTATCATTTTGCTGTATCTTCTTACTTTTTAAACCTATCAGAAAGAAAAGAGTAAAGAATTTGCTCGATTCGTACATAAACAAAAGGTTCGTGTTCAAAAGCCACATCACACATAAGATTGGGATATTCTGCTGGCTGGACAATACAAAAAAAAAAAAAAAAGAATGGAGTGCTCATGATTTTTTTAAATGAAGGGGAAAATGGAAAACAAATAAACTGAAGTGCTCAAGAATGTACTTGTTGTATTAGTGACACTACCCCCCTCCCTTGCTGGGTTAACCCTGGGAAGTTTCTGACAATGTTTCCACTGGTTTTGGTTAGTGGTTTTCAAATCCTGGAGAAACCAAGCGTAGGACTCTGTGTGTGGAGTACGGTGCTAGAGGGATAGAGGGGTATCCGGATACTTCATGGTCTCTTTTGTCTTCTTCCCTTCAGAACAAAGGTGAGCATTTCCACAGGTGCCCCAATCCAAGGGCCTGGGATTTCTTTTTCAGCAGTTTTCTCTTCATAGGAAGTTTCTTCTCCATAGTGAGTTTCCTCCAGGGGAGGTGCATTTGTGCTCACATTCCTGATTTCCCAAATGTGCCCCATAACCTCCTTCCTTCATTTGGAGAATCCATATTAAAGTTTGGTGTCCAAAGATTTTTCTTGGAGGTGAAGTCTTGGGCTACTATTTGAGGAATGTGAAAAAGTTTCCTGGTTGATTGTTTACCTACCATTGTCTAGAATGGAGCCCAAGTCCAGAGCCATTTTCAAATGTCATTTCTTTCTAGTTACCGCAAATAAGAAACCGAGAAACACAACAGATTTCGGTAAATTTCACATTCTTTTGTTTTTCAGATAATTCTGGCCCATATTTTCTTCTGTCATTTTTTAATTTTTCTATTATCTCTGTCAGTGATTTAAAAAATTTATGGCCTTGTTTCTGTTCCCCTCCTAAATTTAACTGATTACATTTTTTTTTTTTGAGACGGAGTCTCTCTCTTTGTTGCCCAGGCTGGAGTGCAGTGGCATGATCTTGGCTCACTGCAACCTCTGCCTCCTGGGTTCAAGTGATTCTCCTGCCTCCATCTCCCCAGTAGCTAGGACTACAGGAGCGTGCCACCACGCCCAGCTAATTTTTGTAATTTTTTTAGTAGAGATGGGGTTTCACTATATTGGTCAGGCTGCTCTAGAACTCCTGACCTCGTGATCTGCCCACCTTCGCCTCTCAAAGTGCTGGAATTACAGGTGTCAGCCACCCCGGCCAACTGATTACATTTTTGTATCCCCAACCCCTGAGAAAAGTTACTGCTACATATTGAACTTATTTCTTATATGCTCTAGGATTTAATGCTGCTTCCTTTAAAACTAAGAGCGGTTCTTAATTCTTCTTATTTTTAGATGAAGTCAGGTTATGATCACTAGCCAAATATGTAGTCTCTTTTTATTATCCAGAATAGGCCACTCTTTTGATAGTTAACTTTGGCTCAGTATAGGTTTTAGAATTTCCAACTGGCTTCATTGTAACTAGACTTTTATTTCCCTGTGGTGCAATTCAACTCCACAAGTTCAATAAGTGGAAGTCCCTGACGTTTTGTTACTATCTCGTCTTCCCATGTCTTAGTTCTATTATGGCATCTAATCTGGCAGCCTGGCCAAGGTATATTTGAGATATTAATTTATAAGCACCAAGAATTAAAAAAGGGTTTAGTTTTTACACATCTCAGAAGGACAACATTGGCTTAATCTTATTTTCAGTAGGAAGGTGATGCACTCTCAAGAAAGAGAGGCAAAAGACAGGGGAGGGACGTATCTCACCTATCGACAGTATTCATTTTGTGTACTGGTTGTACTTACTTCCTTCAAAGCAATACTCTAGCACATAGCCATCTAAACCTGCCGCACCGATCTGGTCTGGGGGGCGCCACTTCATCGTGACAGTCGTGTCAGTGACAGAGTCCACAGCCAGAAGAGTAGGAGGGCTTGTTACAGCTTAAAGATAAAAGAGACAGAAAAGAATAAACTATCAACAACACAGCTTCTAGTACAGGAACCGTGGTAAAAATCAACTGAGATACAAATGAAAATAGACACAAAAGCCCTACATCTTAATGAAATTCAGTTAAGACACCTTGAGCATGGTTGTATGCAAGGCAAAGATCTGATCAATGTGAGAATTTTGGAAATGCTTTCAGGTGTTTTTTCCAAATCGAGAAACTGGTGTGGAAGCTAGAAGACCCAAGGAAGTTGAAGAAGTCAAGGATCTAATAATCTAGAATAATTTTCCTGTTCTTCTCTAATTTCCAAACTCTTGTATTACATTTTCTTTCCATTGAAAAAAATACCTCATTGTCATAAAATAATGGAGATATGGTTTTCTTTTCTTTTTTTTTTTTTTTTGCCTTCACCGAATTAACTTTTTTGATTCAACAGGTAACATTTAAAATGTGACCATAAAGCAAAGAAACCAGTTTCCAAGTGTGGCCTGTTGAACTAATCTCAATTTGTTTTAGTGACAGCTGTTTACACTAAGAAGTTGGGTTATATTAATAGCCTAATACCTTCAGAAGGGCAAATGGAGGGTAGTCATGTGTCCATGGAATCAGCAACATGTTTTCAGTGGGTAATGGCAACCAGAGCCACCCATAGTTGGCACTGGAATTCTGGTAATGAAGTTATTCAACTTGACCAAATCTACTTTTTAATTTCTTAGACATAAAACTGTCCGTGTTTCCAAGCTCCTGCCCACCTACCACTCTAAGAAGTATCTAGGCCTGTTTCAGTTAGGGATCAGAGAGAAAGCAGTCATACTCTGGGACATTGATTTCTATGACAAAGACTCATTTCTCTTGACTTACCCAAAGGAACAAAAGGCTTGGAGGGCATACTGGGCTTGGAGATGCCGATGGCATTGACTGCAAAGATGCGGACCTCGTAGGCTACACCTTCAATCATCTTCTTGGGCTCAAAAGTTGTTTCTTTGCAGAGATCAAAATTCAGCCTCATCCACCTGGAGCTTTGTTTCTTCTTCCTCTCAATAAAATATCCTGCAGGTATGCAAAATGAAGACTATTAACTACACAGCTATAGTGCAGGAACTGTGATAAAATCAACTGAGATACAAACAAAAATAGACACAAAAGCCCTACATCTAGGTCTCCTAAATTAAACTTTGTCAGATATTAGAAGTCCTTAAAATTTTGCCTTTTGTTAGCGATCTACGTAAAATAGTCATGCATGTATGTAAATATTTTTAACCTACCTATTACAAGAGAATACAAATATTATTATAAAATACAGATAAAAATAATGGGACTGAAAAATTAAAATTGTACCACAAAGAGAAGAAAAATGGATCACAGATAAGTCAGCCATAGCAGCTTAGTCACTATAAGTAAACAGTGTATTCAGAGCCAATGTAGTTGATTCTGAGTCCCAGCAAGGAAGAGAAGAAGGTGGAAATGACCCGTTTTGTGAGTCTCATTGTTAGCAAAGAGAAAAAACTCTCATGCCATAGGGGAAGCAAATTTTTCTAAACATTTAAATCTTTTTTTTTTTTTTTTTTTTTTTTTGAGACAGATTCTCACTCTGTTGCCCAGGCTGGAGTGCAGTGGCGTCATCTTGGCTCACTGCAACCTCCATGCCCCCAGGCTCAAGTCATCCTCCCAAATCAGCCTCCTGAGTAGCAAGTAGCTGGGACTACAGGTGCACACAACCATGCCCGGCTAATTTTTGTGTTTTTAGTAGAAGTGGGGTTTCACCTTGTTGACCAGGCTGGTCTCGAATTCCTGGCTTCAAGTGATCTGCCCACCTAGGCCTCCCAAAATGCTAGGATTACAGGTGTGAGCCACCACACTCAGCCTAAGCATTTAATTCTAAAAGAAATTTCTTCATAGTCAAAATCCTGTAGAATCAGACATTCACTGGCTAAGATAGTGGAAATTAGGCTTATAGTTACTTCAAAATTAGTGTGTATAAATGTCAAACAAACAAACAAAAAAGAAAACCAGAAATCAGATGATACTCATCAGAGCTGTTTAAATCTCAAGTAATTGCAGAGCATCTCAACATACATATTTCATTTTGAATGCATGAACTCACAGTGAAATAGGTTTTCTTCTAAATGTAATATTTTAAAATGTGCTCTGTACTAAGCTGTGTAAAGAGGACACAACTGTACTAGCAGTTACACAGACTAACCAACATGTAGTCACCTAGGATTGGAGACCCTCCATCGTAGGCAGGAGGCTCCCAGTTCATGATACACCAGTCATCTCCCACTTCCGTCACATTTGGTGCCACTGGAGGATCAGGGAGGTCTGTAGTAAACAAAAAATTGGATAAAATAAGGAAGAGGGAGTACAAAAAAAGAGAAAAATATGTTGCTTGGTGATAATCATAGAAACTGTTATGTCAGTACTTTTCCGTGTTTATTGAATTACACTTATGATATGGTTTGGCTGTGTCCCCACCCAAATCTAATCTTGAATTGTAGCTCCCATAACTCCCACATGTTGTGTGAGGGACCCAGTGGGAGAGAACTGTATCATAGTGGCAGTTTCTCCCATACTGTTCTCGTGGTGGTGAGTGAGTCTCAAGGGATCTGATGGTTTTGTAAGGGGAAACCACTTTGGCTTGGTTCTCATTGTTTCTCTCTTGTCTGCTGCCACGTAAGACATGGCTTTCACATTCCACCATGACTGTGAGGCCTCCCCAGTTACAAGGAACTGTGAGTCCATTAAACTCCTTTTTCTTTATAAATTACCCAGTCTTGGGGTTATCTTTACCAGCATCATTAAAACAGACTAATCCAGTAAATTGGTACTGGTAGAGTGGGGCACGGCTGTAAAGACACCCCAAAATGTGGAAGTGACTTTGGAACTGGGTAATAGGCAGAGATTGGAACACTTTGGAGGACTCAGAAGAAGACAGGAAAATATGGGTAAGTTTGGAATTTCCTAGAGACTTGTTAAATGGCTTTGACCAAAATGCTGATAATGATATGGACAATGAAATCGATGCTGAGGTGGTCTCAGATGAAGATGAGGAACTTCTTGGGAACTGGAGTAAAGGTGACTCTTACTATGTTTTAACAAAGAGACTGGTAGAACAAATGTCTGGTAGAAGAAATTTCTAAGCAGCAAAGCATTTAAGAGGTGATTTGGGTGCTGTTAAAAGCATTCAGTTAAAGGGAAACAGAGCATAAAAGTTTAGAAAATTTGCAGACTGAAGATGCAATAGAAAAGAAAAGCTCATTTTCTGAAGAGAAATTCAAGCAGGCTGCAGAAATTTGCATAAGTAAGGAGGAACCAAATGTTAATCCCCAAGACAATGGGGAAAATGTCCCCAGGACCTGTGAGAGAGCTTTGCAGCAGCCCCTCCCATCACAGGTCCCAAGGCCTAGGAGGAAAAATGTGGTTTTCTGGGCCAGGCCCAGAGTCCCCTGCTGGGTGCAGCCTAGGGACTTGGTGCCCTGCATCCCAGCCACTTTAGCCATGGATAAAATGGGCTAGGCTATGACTTCGGATGGTGCAAGCCCTAAGCCTTCTCAGCTTCCACCTGGTGTTGAGCCTGTGAGTACAGAGAAGTCAAGAATTGAGGTTTGGGAACCTCTCCCTAGATTTCAAAGGATGTATGGCAATGCCTGGATGTCCAGGCAGATGTTTGCTGCAGGGAAGGAGCCCTTGTGGGGAACCTCTACTAGGGCAGTGTGAAAGAGAAATGTGGGGTTGAAGCCCCCACATAGAGTCCCCACTGGGGCACTGCCTAGTGGAGCTATGTGAAGGAGGGCCACCATCCTCCAGACCACAGAATGGTAGATCCACCAATAATTTGCACCATGCACCTGGAAAAGCTGCAGACACTCAACACCTGTGAAAGCAGCCAGGAGGGAAGCAGCACCCTGCAAAGCCACAGGAGTGGAGCTGCGCAAGACCATGAGAACCCACCTCTTACATTAGCATTACCTAGATGTGAGACATGGAGTCAAAGGAGATCATTTTGGAGCTTTAGGATTTGACTGCCCCACTGGATTTCAGGCTTGCACAGAGCCTTTAGCCCCTTCATTTTGGACCATTTCTCCCATTTTGAATGGGGGTATTTATCCAATGCCTGCACCCCTATTGTATCCAGGAAGTAACTAACTTCCTTTCGCTTTTACAGTGTCATTGTTGGAAAGGACTTGCCTTGTCTTGGATGAAACTTTGGACTATGGCCTTTTGAGTTAATGCTGAAATGAGTTAAGGCTTTGGGGGACTGTTGGGAAGGCATGATTGGTTTCGAAATGTGAGGATATGAGATTTGGGAGGGGCCAGGGGTGGAATGATGTGGTTTAGCTGTTTCTCCACCCAAATCTCATCTTGAATTGTAGCTCCCGTAATTCCCATGTGTTGTGAGAGGGACTTGGTGGGAGAGAATTGAATCAGGGGGGCAATTTCCCACATAGTGTTCTCATGGTAGTGAATAAATCTCATGAGATTTGATGGTTTTATAAGGGGAAACCCCTTTGGCTTGGTTCTCATTCTCTCTCTCTTGTCTGCTGCCATGCAAGCCATGCCTTTTACCTTTCACTGTGATTGTGAGGCCTCCCCAGCCACAAGTAATTGTGAGTCCCTTAAACCTCTTTTTCTTCATAAATTTCCCTGTCTCTAATAGGTCTTTATTAGCAGCGTGAAAACAGATTAATACAAGTTAGTAACTAATTTGGGCAAAACTTTTTGCTCAATATGGCATAAGGGAAGATGAGCCTGCCCCTTGCCTCAAATAAAAATAACAATGTCTCCAAATCCCTTAAACCATGTCCCAACATTACAGAATAAGCCCCAGATGAAACCTAAGACTCTCAGTCCTTACCTTGAAAATGTTAACCAAGAAATTATTGTCTAAATGTTGAACATGGTTGTTGTTGTTTTTAAGCACAACATGAACTTCCAATAGAACTGTATTAAGAAATTTTACATCAGTTGAAATACTCAAGATGTTGGCTGGTAGAAATCCAAGTCAGAAATGACAAGTCACAATATCTTGCAAATATAGTTCGGTGTCTGATAAAAATGACCTTAGTTTTTGGTCAATTTGAAATATGTCATTTAAGGATAAACTAAAGTGAGAAGAGGAGAACATCAGACCTTGGAACAGTAGTCATCTGCTAGACTCATTTTTCTTAGTTTTGGGCTTAGGAAAAATGCACTTAGATAGTTGTCTAAGGACCAAAGCAGATCTTACCTCTCTGTAATGACTGTGACATGAGACGTTATTTAGTAGTTATGTTTCGGTGATGTTTAAAGGGCACCAAAAGGGAATATGACTTTGGAGAGCTAATTGTCAGTAACCCCTAATGGCTCACCTTAGCTACTCTTCCTCCAATGAGAAGTCCTCTAGGCAAGAAAAAAGTAGACAAAGGAAAGAAAAAGGAAGGAAACGGAAGGGAAGGACAAAGAAGGAAAGTCTACTCTGAATCTCGACATGTGAGCTGGATTCCAGAAGTTTGTTTACCTGGAGGACTTACCCACAACTTTAATCTTGATGCTTGCATGTGCCTCTCCAGCTTCGTTTTTCAGATTGATGTGGTAAACACCAGAGTCATCCCTTTCAGCTACATCAATGACCAGAGTGCTGCTATCGGGGTAAGATTCTGCCCTTATTCGACCACTGCCCTCCATTATAGCCTAAGAAGGAGAGAAACAAAATGTGGCATGATTTATACAACAACAATGGCTATTCAGAATGTCTTATAAATTGAGCAATTTAACAGATGATATAGTGTATAGATTATATAGTGTATTTAGCAGACTATATATTGTAACTATATAGTGTTCAGGCCTAATATATATTTTTCTCAGTTTAATTCTCCCCCAACTCTAATGACAAGGTATTATTATAGCATCTTACACATAAAGAAACTGAGACTTAACTTGCTCAAGGTCACACAGCTAGGAAGTAGCAGAATTGGGATTTGATCCCAAAGCCCGCTAGCCACCAACTTTTCCAAGAGAAAATTGGAGGACTAAAAATACAAGTGCAGAAGTGTCATTCTAGGAGAGGAGTCCCTGTGTGTGAAAGTAGAAACCCTCAAACTCCTATCAGAAACTAAATAATGACTTCTTCATTTTCTTAGATGTTTGGAAAATTTTAAAATACTGAAGAGGATTGAAGAAAGCTGCAAGGTCCAATTTTCCATTTTCTTCTTCTAGTAAAAACATGTAAGAATGAACATCTAATTCCCAAAGTAAAGATAGAGTGAGGTTGAGCCTCCTATTATATTTTCTTTCATTTATTTTCTTCTTCTATTTTTCGCTTTTTCTTCTTTCTTAAATCTTAAGTTTAAAGCAGGATTACATTTTTCTGATTCCCAAGTTGTATATTCTATAAGACAATCAATAGCCAATACACAAAGAGGAAAAACAGAGAAGGTCAAAGTAATTTAGAATCTGGGTTATTTGCCACTAACTACTAGGTAAACTCTCTTCTCTTTTGTGTCTGTATTAGGACTCATAAGTCTTCAATAGCCTAAGATTGTGATCACAGTAAGAATACCTGAAATAATTGTCCTAATTCTTCTATTTTGTAATAGAACAAAATTTCCCTATATTAGCCAAATTCTAAAGTAAGATTATAATGGATGTTCTCTTTTGTTTTTATTTATTTCTCCTTTTTCTCACCCCCAAAGCAAATCCATCTCCTTTCTTTTTAATGTGAGAAAAAAAATTATATAGAGTTGTGTTACACTATCCTCTTCAGTTTTTTGTATTTTGTTTTGCTGGTTTGCTTGTACATTGTAATTTACATAGAGCAAAATTCACACTTTTTAGCAGTATACTTCTACGAATTTTGACAGATTTATGCAATTGTATAATTACCACCACACTCAAGATAGAAACCATTTCCATCACCTTCAATCATGGCTCCAAGCTCCTTGGCAATTAAATTATACCCTACACTCTGCTCCCTGGCACCACTGGTCTAATACCTGTCCTTAGTTTTTCTTTTTCCCAAATGCCCTATAACTGGAATCCAACAGTATGTAGCTTTTTGCATTTGGCTTTTTTCTTAGCATGATACTTTTTAGATCCCTCCTTGTTGCTGCATGTATAACTAGTACATTCCTTTTTATTGCTGAGTAGTATTCCATTGTATATTCCATGTGTAGTTAGTTCATGTATGTACCAACTGTATGTTTGTACAATTGGACTTTTTGGGTTGTTTCTGGGTTTTGACAAGTACGAACAAAGGTGCTAAAACATCATATACAGGTTTTTGTGTGGACATGTCTTCATTTTTCTTGGGTGAAAAACTAGATATAGCATCATAGAAATGTATAGTAAGAACATATTCAACTTTATAAAAACCACCAAACTATTTTCCAAAAAGGATTACTGTTTTGCTGGTACATCTACTTTGGAAAAGTGACGTATGTACATTTCATTGTTTCATGTCCTTGTCAGAACTTGGCATTGTCATTTTTAAGGTTTTTTAAAAATGACATGAAAAATACTTTTTTTAGTATACCTTCTTTCACTTAGCATAATTATTTTAAGATTCATCCATGTTTTTGTGTATATCAGCAATTCATTTCTTTTTATTGCTGAGTAGTAGTCCTTTGTATAAATATATTACAATTTACTTATCCATTCACCTGTTTATGGATATTTGAGTTATTTTCAGCTTTTGGATATTACAAATAAAGCTATTATGAACACTTGTTATGGTAGTTTTTTAATTGTTGCTGTTACACTGGATTTTTTACGTTGGTAATCATGCCATTTGCAAATAAAGACAGTTTTAGTTCTCCCTTTTGAATAGGAATGTCTTTTATTTCTTTTTCTTGTCTGGTTGCTCTGGCTAGAAGCTTAAGTATGATGTCGAATAGAAGCAGTGAGAGTGGATATATCTCTCTTCTTTCTGATCTTAGAGGAAAATCATTCAGTTTTGTACTATTAAGTAGGATAGTAGTTGTAAATTTTTCATGGGTGACTTTTATCATGTTAAGGAGGATCTTTTTACTTCTGAGTTTGTTCAGAGATTTATATTAGGAACAGATCCTGGATTTTGCTGAATGTTTTTGCTGTGTCTATTGAGAGGGCTGTATTTTTTTTTCTGCTTGTTAATATCATGACATATTAATTTATTTTCAAATATTAAACCAACTTTTGGATTTCTGAGATAAACCCTCCTTTGTTATGATATATTCTTTTTACATATTGTTGGATTTGATTTGCTAAATTTTGCTTAGAAATTTTAAATCCATGTTCAATGAATGATACTAGTTTGTCGTTTTCTCTTCCTGAAATGTCTGTGTCAGGTTTTACTATAAGGGTAACACTGGTCTTAAAGAATGAGTTGGTAAATAGTCTCTCTTTTTCAATTTTGTGGTAGAGTTTTTGTAGAATTTGGTATTGTTTCTTGATAAATGTTAGAACTGTCTAGTAAAGTCACCTAGACCTAAAATTTTCTTCATAAGTGTTTTTAATTACAAATTTATTTTAATTGTTATGGAGAAATTCAGTACTGATTTAGCAGTATTCTGCAAGTCTATTATGGGATGTGTCATAAATATTTTCTAATTTACCGTATATTGTCTTTGATCCATGAGGTACTTAGACATGTGTTGTTTAGATTCCAAATATTTGGGAATTTTCCAGATATCTATTATTGATTTCTTTTTTTTTTTTTTTGACTAAAGATCTCATCACTGATCTATTATTGATTTCTAATTAATTCCATTGTGGCCAGAAAACATATGTTGCATGTCTTAAATCTTTTTATATTTATTGAAAATTATTTTTGGTTCAGAATATGGTCTATCTTGTTAAATTTTCCATGTGCAATTTAAAATAATACCCATTTTGTTTTGTGCAGTGGAGAGTTCTATAAATGTCAATCAGTTCAAAATGGCTTGTAGTATTGTTCAAGTCTTCTAATTCTTACTGATTTTCTGTCTTCTTCTTCTATTAACTATTAAGAGAAGAATATTGAAACCTCAAATTCATTGATTTCTCTTTGAAATTCTATCTTATTGCTATTTATTTCCAACTTGTCCCATCTGTTCTTTGTGCCCCTTTTTCTACCTTCTTTTGGGTTAAATATTTTTATGATTCCATTTTATTTTCTTTGTTGATTTGTTAGCTGTAACTCTTTGTTTTTTGTTGTTGTTGTTTTTTTTTTTTTAGTGGCTTCTTTAGGGTTTGTAGCAAACTTCTTTAACTTTTCACAATCTACATTCAAGTGATATAATACTTCATGTATATTACAAACAATCCCTGACTTACAATGATTTTAACATACAATTTTTTGACTTTGTGATGGTTTGAAAGCAATATGCATTCAGTAGAAATCGTACTTTGAATTCTGGATATTGATCTTTTTTCAGGTTAGCGATATGCAGTATGATACTTTCATGATAGTGGGTGACAGCAGAGAGCCTCAGCTCCCAGTTAGCCATATGATCATGATGGTGAACAACTGATCTCTGTAATATACTGTGTTGCTAGGTGATTTGGTGATTTGTCTGACTGTAGGCTAATGTAAGTGTTTTGAGCATGTTTAGGTAGGCCAGGCTAAGCTACGATGTTCAGTAGGTTAGGTGTATTAAATGCTTTTTTTTTTTTTCTGTTTTGAAATGAGGCCTTGCTCTGTCACTCAGGCTGGAATGCAGTGGCAGGGTCTTGGCTCAATGCAACCTCCGCCTCCTAGGTTCAAGAATTCTCCCACCTCAGCCTCCCAATAGCTGGGACTACAGGTGTGCACCACCACACCAGGCTAATTTTTTTGTATTTTTGGTAGAGATGGGATTTCACCCATCTGTTGGCCAGGCTGATCTTGAACTCCTGGCCTCAGGTGATCTGCCTGCTTCAACCTCCCAAAGTGCTGGGATTATAGGTGTGAGCCACTGCACCCAGCTGCCTTTTCGACTTATGATATTTTCAACTTATTATGGGTTTATTTGATGTAACTCTGTCAAAAGTCAAGATGTAGCTATAGAATAAATTTACAGTAGCTCAGTTCTATTTTTACCTTTCCTAATTCTTCTATTTCTTCCCTACTGAACTTGTATATTTGTTGTCATAAATTTTATGTATACCTATGTTAAAAACCCTATAATACATAGGGTTTTTGTCATAATTTTTGTCATAATTTTTGTTTAAACAGTTTTCTTTTTAAGATACTTAAATACTAAGAAAAACATCTTCTATGTTTATCCATGTAGTTACTATTTCTGGTGTTCTTTGTTCCTTTGTGAAAATATTTCCAGCTGGCATCACTTTCCTTCTAACTTTAAGGATTCCCTTTAACATTTCTTGTAGTGCAGGTTAGCTAGTGATACATTCTCTCAATTCTTTTATATCTGAAAATAATTTTACTTTGCCTTCATTTCTTAAATTTATTTCTATTGAGTATAGAATCCTAGGTTGACAGTTTTTTTCTTTCAGTACTTTAAAGATGTTGCTACTGTTTTCTCATTTGTCATACTTACAGAGAAATATGCTGCCGTCTTTGCCTTTGTTCCTCTTTATTTAATGTGACATTTTTCTCTATCTGCTTTTAATGTTTTTCTTAACCACTCATTTTGAGTATTTGATTTGTGATGGGTCTTGGTGTAGCTTTTTAAATGCTTCTTGTGCTTAGGGTTTAGTGAGCTTTTTGCATCTGTACGTTCATAGTTTTTACC